CTCTCTCTTCTCCTTCACGTGCTCCCTCTGAGCTACTCGAGCTCTCCTCTAAGCTGCACGAGCTCCCTGTTGAGCTGCCTTCACGAGCTCCCTCTGAGCTGCTCTCACGAGCTCTCCTCTGAGCTACCCTCTGAGCTACTTCGGCTATACGAGCTACTCGAGCTCCTTGAGCTCCTCTGAGCTGTTCGAGCTCCCTTGAGCTGAGCTGCTTCTCTTGTTCTTCATAAGGCTCTTATTTATACTAGAACCAAGCTTCTCATTTGCCTATTGTGAATAGGAAGACTTACAAATCTTGTCCAACTTGACATTATTTGTATTTCCTTTTCTCTTGATTTCCTTTCTTGGATTTCCTTTCTTGGATCTCTTCTAGCATCTTCTAGAAGGAGATAACTTGCTCCTCAAGTTAGTTGGAATTATCCAACATTCTCCCCCTTAATTCCAACTTGAATTCCGGGAAGCTTGATTCTCGCCAATGCCTTAGTAAGTGTGTCCGCCTTCTGCTCCACACCTTGAACATTCTCAACTTCAACCTTTGTTGAGATACGATCTCTTGCTCCTCCTTAGCTTTTGAGATCTTCAAATTTGACATCTTCAAATTTGACTGCATCTTAGTATCCACAAGCATTCCTTGAGCATCTCCCTCTTGTTCTTCTCTTTGAATTACTTCTTGTACTAGTGCTTGTACTACTTCAACGATTCCTTGAACACAACCTTCTTGTTCTGCTCCTTGAATCACGTCTTGTACTACTTCATGTAATACTTCATGTACTACTTCAGCGAGAAGTATTCCTTGAGCACAAACCTCTTGTTCAACTCCTTGAATAACTTCCTGTAGTACTCTCTGTACTACTTCAACGACTAGTACAGAATACCCAAATATCATAACCCGACTTGGTTTGATATTCTCAAGACCCCGACTTGGTTCTAGCATCTCTAGAATCTGACTTGATTCTAGCCTCATTAGAACCTGGCTTGGTTCCAATATTGACCAACCATCTACCTTCTTGAGATGCGGCCTCGTGATCACACTTCTTGACCAATCATCTACCATCTTGAGATGCGGCCTCATGATCTTCTTAGCTTTTAGTAAGCTTGAATGACGTTCGGCTTCTCCCCACATATCATTCAGAATCTTCATTAGGTGCCTAGAGACTCCTCCTCTATGCAACCTCAAATCTTCATTAGATGCTTAGAGACTCCTCCTCTATGCAACATCCTCTCTTCATTAAATGCCTAGAGACTCCTCCTCTATGCAACATCATCGAATGCCTAGAGACTCCTCCTCTATGCAACATCGATTCTTCATTAGACGCCTAGAGACTCCTCCTCTATGCGTAATCGATTGAACTCCAAACTCTCCTCCTCTATCGGTGCGAAAGGTTTTGATAGACAAGCCGGCTTGCTTCTCTACACACTCTTCAAACCTTTTGTACCGATCGAAAACTTCAATCGATATGTCAACAAGGAACCACCTGTTCTTGTTGATCTTGGCTCGGCTCTCACTTTCAACATAAGCTTGCTGGAACAAACCGGAAACTGTTTCGGACTTCAGAACATAGTCTTCAAGGTTTTACAACTGATTCACTTGTCGACCCGACCTTGTCAGCTGTGGTACTCTTTGAACTACTTCACCAACCTTATCCTCGTGGTTGTCTTGAGTGATATCCTCCATGACATCATCTGCTTCATGTCCTTCTCCAGTATCTTCTCCGCGAATCAACTCCAAAACTTATATGACCTAACCGAGCATGCCATGTCCTTGTAGATTCATTAGAAATTCATTCAGTCAGTCCTTCAGCGAGTCCTTCAACGAGTCCTTCAGCAAGTCCTTCAGCACGTCCCTCAGCAAGTCCTTCAGCTTGCAGACATGTTGGCTTGCTTATCTCCAAAGAACTTGATGCTGACCAGCCTTGTCGCATCACTTTGGATAAATTCTTCTTTTGGTTGTGATCACCGGTTACTCCTCCTTGAGATTGCAAGACGGACCTTCCTTGTCCCATGCCTTTTCCGGAACTGTCACCTCCAAAGCTTCCTCTACCATAACCAACGTAGTTATAGCTTCCTCTGTTATAACGTCTTCTTGTTATAACCGCCTCTGTTTCCTGCTCGAAACTTCCCGTAGCCTCCACGCTTAGGGTTTGAGGTCCTTGGTCTTCACTTTGGGTTTCTTACCCAACACGTTCTTCATACTCCAGTAACCTCCCAACAATGTCTTCAAACCCCATCCGCTTTAGGTCAAGAACTTGCTCCAGGGATGCAACAATATGAATGAACTTGGTTTGTGGTTGTGGATTCTCGCCTGCCATACTTGCTTACGAGACACATACCACCAGTCTTGTCTAGAGTCTTCAAACTAAGCTCTGACACACCACAGGTCTTGTCTAGAGTCTTCAAACTAAGTTCTGAACTTGTACAGAGTCTTCAAACTAAGCTCTGTCATACCACAGGTCTCGTCCAGAGTCTTCAAACCAGAAGCTCTGATACCAATTCAAATCAAGATCTTCTTATCTTGACTTCTCTGATGCAAATCAATATCACCTTATCTTGACTGCTCTGATGCCCAATTCAAATCAGGATCACCTTACCCTGACTTAGTCACTAAATGATTCGGAAAGTGATTCAGCAACACGAGAACAAGAGATTAAAGAACAACCTTTCTTTATTGATTTAGAAACTTTCCAAAACTAAATCTCTCTCTTTAATATCCTCTCTTATGTCTTATGGAACATCTCTCCATAGTCTCTCTTATATAGAACTTATCTACCCGTAAGTCTATATGAGTCTCTTTCTCTAGACTCTCATGAGATCTGTCTCAACACCTCCACGTGTCTCGACTCTCATCTTCGGATGCTGGAGCTCCTCTGGTAGCAGAACTCCCCCCGAGCTGTTCTGAGCTCACCCCAAGCTATTCGAGCCCCCCTGGGTACACCGAGCTCCCCGAGCTACACTAAGCTCCTTGAACTTTCTCTCAAGCTCTCTCTCTTCTCCTTCACGTGCTCCCTCTGAGCTACTCGAGCTCTCCTCTGAGCTGCACGAGCTCCCTGTTGAGCTGCCTTCACGAGCTCCCTCTGAGCTGCTCTCACGAGCTCTCCTCTGAGCTACCCTCTGAGCTACTTCGGCTATACGAGCTACTCGAGCTCCTTGAGCTCCTCTGAGCTGTTCGAGCTCCCTTGAGCTGAGCTGCTTCTCTTGTTCTTCATAAGGCTCTTATTTATACTAGAACCAAGCTTCTCATTTGCCTATTGTGAATAGGAAGACTTACAAATCTTGTCCAACTTGACATTATTTGTATTTCCTTTTCTCTTGATTTCCTTTCTTGGATTTCCTTTCTTGGATCTCTTCTAACATCTTCTAGAAGGAGATAACTTGCTCCTCAACTTAGTTGGAATTATCCAACATCGACTTGATGATTTTCGAGAACTACAAATCTCGGTTTGTATCGTTCTATTAACCTAGCGTTCTTCAGATTGAACAATCAATAGTTTTGAATCTTTGTCGTCAACTTTATTATTTTTTATAGAAAAAATTTATTTAGAAAAAATAATTGCTAGCTATATGAAGAAGAGGCCATCACATGACACATGGTCATACATGCAAATTTTTAAAACGTATTATTAGCTACATGGAATATTATCATTATATGTTAACATCACGAACAAACATAAGCTATTACAAACATCATAATCATTTAATTCCGGTACTTTGTTTACCGGAATCTAATTAAAATATTTTAAAATTCAATGATTTTAATAAATCATTAAAGATAATAAAAATATACGTAATTGAACTAATTTAGTGTTGGTGGTACTGTACCACAAGAACGTGCTCTTCACTCTCTCTTGAATAATATTTTTATGATGTTCAGTTTATTAATAAACAGAAAAAAGTTTAGAGCTTATTAATAAGGTAAAAATAGCCATTTGAAGAACTAGAATGGATGAAATCTTGTGTTATGAAAATGAAATTATATAAAGTAAAATAGTTTTTGTGGTTAAAATCTTGTTATATAACTAATATTTTATCGGATACAATGAAAGTTGCTAAATATGCGATAATACAATCCATTTGAACTTATTTTGCAAATAAAAAAGAGTAAGATTACTTTGCAAATTACCTTCCATACATTGGTTATTTATTATTCTCTCCGTTTCAAAACAAATGTTTATAGAGATTCGACTGTATAAGATATTTTGGCTAAAAACATTCAGATTTTAAATTTAAAAAATTCTATCATGAGAAAACTATATAGTAAAAGTAATTATAAAATATTAAATTAATTTATAATAATTTGAAGGAATTAAAAATATCTTATACTATGAAACAAAAATATTTTTTAAAAACATGTTATATTGTAAAACAGAGGAAGTACTATATACTATGTGTTTTCTTCAACATTCGAAACTAGCCTACGAAAGTATAAAAATCGATAAACATCTTTTTATTAATAACCTTAAAATTTGTGAAAAGGAGAGGAAATCAAGAAAGATTATAGTAGACGCGTTACACATTATATAAAATACACAAAAAGTGGCAACAAAATTTCCACAAAGAGGGAAAAAAGAGATTACGCCGTGAAATGTGGTTTCATTTTACAAAAGAGTTACCAATCCACAATTCACATGCAAACACACACCATCTCGTTGCACGCCACGTGTATTAATCTGACGGCTACCGTTACATCATCATTTGAAATAAGTAAACAAATATTATAAAGAATCACAATTGTTATAACTTTATTCATTGATAAATTTTCATTTTCACTACCCAAATTTAAACTTTTTAAGGAACACAAATCTCTCTACGCGTGTGTTTTTGTATGTATATATAAGCTTATTCGTGGGTATGTTTCTAGGTATGATCGACATGCAACGATGAAATCATCATCATCATCAATTTTTCGAGAAAATTTAGAGAAAAAATCAGAGAGATGGAGGATGATGAACATTGGAAGATTATCTCCATTTTTCATATCTTCTTTTTCTATAACTCTTTTCTTCACCGGTTTATTTTTTTATCAGAATCTTCTTAAATCCATCGCTGATCAAAATTTTCTTTCTCTGCAACCTCAAATAGGTAAGGTAAAACCAAAGAAAACATAAAATATGATCATCAAAATCTGTGATATTTGTTTTTTTCTTCCCACGAACTTGTTCTTGGGAATTTATGGATTATTTGTATGTGTAAAGCTAAATTATGATTTTATGTTTAATTATTGTCACATTTCTGCTGTTCTTATTTTGTTAAGTTTTTTTTTTCTTCTCCAAGAACCCATGTTACGAAGATTTCGTTTGATTATTTGTATTTGTAAACTTATAAAACTTTTGATTATTATATAATTTATATTTAACTATTCCCACGTTTTTGCTGTTTTTTTTTTAAAGTCTCTCAATTTTGTTATTTTTGTGTTCTTGAAATTTTATTGATTTGTATATATTTTGTTGTTGTGGTTTTTGGTTAGATCCTGAGTGTGATTTGTTCAAGGGACATTGGATTCCAGACAAAAGAGGATCTTTGTACACGAACTCAAGCTGTTCTACGATTCCCGACTCGAAGAACTGCATAAAAGAGGGAAGACCAGACAGAGGTTTTTTGTTCTGGAGATGGAAACCCGATGGCTGCGATCTTCCGAGGTTTAATCCTAAGGCGTTTCTCGGTCTAGTTCGGGGGAAGAAGATGAGTTTTATTGGTGATTCTGTAGCTAGGAACCATATGGAATCTCTTCTTTGCTTGTTGTCAATGGTAATATAATGTGTTACTTTGTTTACAAGTTAGAATCATTGCTTTTGCTTAAGCTTTTTGTGTTTTTGCTTGTGCAGGAAGAAACTCCTAAGGACATCTACAAGGATGGAGACGATAGAAACAGGATTTGGTACTTTCCGAAACACGATTTTACTCTCTCTACCTCGTGGACTAAATTTCTTGTAGAGGAACGAGAGAGGAGGGATGGTAACAATAAAGGAACTGGATTGTTTGATCTAGATATTGGCAAGATCGATGACGGGTGGTTTAACGGTCTGCCGAATACAGACATTGCTATTGTCTCGGCTGCTCACTGGTTTTTCAGACCGATATTTATACATAGAGGAGATGAGACACTGGGTTGCATTTACTGTAGCTTACCAAACATGACTCAGATTACCCCGGAAGAAGGGTTTAAGCTTGTTTACTCAGCTGTCTTCAAGCATATCGATGAGTGTGAGATGTGTAAGGAAGATTTAGTGACGGTACTGAGGACTATTTCACCTGCTCATTTCGAGAATGGAACTTGGGATACCGGAGGAACTTGCAGCAGGACGAGTCCTTTTGGAGAAAACCAAATTGACCTGCAGAGCAATGAGATGAAGATCAGGAAATCCCAGATTGAACAGCTTGAAGGTATAACAACAAAGCGCAACAACAAAGCAAAGAAGTTTGCGGTTTTGGATGTGACGAGGGTTATGCAGATGAGACCCGATGGGCATCCAAATGGTTACTGGGGAAATAAATGGATGAAAGGTTACAACGACTGCGTGCACTGGTGTTTGCCCGGGCCAATTGATGCGTGGAACGAGTTTCTAATGGCGATAATTAGACAGTTAAGATGATGATTTGTGCAGAAAAACATGCATAGCTGAAACATTCTTTTACTTTTCTTTATAATGAAGTATATCATTGATGTGATTTCGAAGAGATACACAATACTCAATAGAACACATTACTTTTGTTTACCTCATATAATTGCTCCCAATACAGTTTTATGTATTCATCGAGTGCTTCCCGTTGAATCCTGCAAGATATTAACAACAATATGGCTTCTTCGAGCAATTCTGATTCAACAAAACACAAATGAAGAATCTCAAGTCAATAATATAAGTATATAACTTTGGCCGAACTTAACTCTCATCTGCAGAAGATTCAAGCATTTGTGTATAGAAGAAGTATGCACCAAACTATATGCTCAGATTTTACAGAAAACGTTTTCCGGCACAATTAAATACATGTAGAATAATCAATATGTACCAACCCTAAGTACATTGCTTCTACACTATTCCATCAACAGCAAGAAAACTTAATCAGGCACAGTTTTGAAACAGAAACAGAAAGCTCAAAACTTTGGTACACAGTGAATTGAGAACAGGTAATAGCAAATTCTTCACACCATTCGACACAATTTGAAACAGAAACATAATAGCTAAATTTCTTTACCAACCATACATACATTGCTTCTATATTGTTCCATTAAGTAACTTACAATACAAACCAGCGAAAACGAGATCGCAGTGACATAATATATGGAGAAGCTCTGAAGAACAAGAAGATCAAATCTTAACAATTCATAAAAGAACATAATTGCTTCTATACTGTTCCATGAAGATCATCAAGTTCGAAGCTTTTGTACACAGTGAATTGAGAAGATATTAACAGCGAAATGGCTTCGACCAATTCATGTTCATGCACAAAGACATGAAACACAATTCAAGAATCTCAAATCAATCATACAACTTTAGTCAAACTTAGCTCTATCTGCAGAACATTCAAGCATTTCTGTATCAAAAATGTTTGCTTCTATACTGTTCCATCAAGATATTAACAGCAAAATGGCTTCGACCAATTCATGAAACACAAAGACATGAAACACAATTGAAGAATCTCAAATCAATAATACAACTTTAGTCAAGCTTAACTCTAATCTGCAGAACATTCAAGCATTTCGTTATCGAAGAAATTTTCACCAAAACTACATAAACTAAAAGTAGATGTAACATAAACATAATTGCTTCCTATACTGTTCCATCAAGATCATCAAGTACCAAACAAGCTCGAAACTTTTGTTAACTAAACCAAAGGGAATTACATAATCAGATTATTACTAGCTCAAAGCTAAACATTTTCATATCAAGACTCCAAATTGTTACCAAGACCAAAAGAGAAGACTTCACGAACAGGAGAAAACTCAACAAGACCAATATCCATAGCATAACCATTCACAGGAAGCTTCAAATCTCTCAAAACCAAAAACCCTTCAGAGATACGTGACTTAGGAACATCAACAGCCACAGGACAAAACGGAACCCAAGAATCAACACGATACTCTTCACCAATCTCAAACCCTTCTTTCTTAACCACTTCACATAACTGAACCTGAAGCTGAAGAAGCGAAAGAGACGGTGTCGGCGAAAGAAACAGAGCATTGTTGTTATTAGAAAAGCTTCCTATTGAAGAGAAAGAGAGAGAGATTGGTTCTTGTTTCGATGAGAATGATTTCAAGATTGGTTCAAGCTTTGTTGAATCGATGAATGAAGTTGAGAATAAAGTTATGTGTGGACGAGACTCGTTGTTGATTAGGTTTGTACTGATTTGACGACGAGCGAAAACGTTCCAAGCTTTCAAGACTTGGTTCTCGAGTGATGGATCGAAGTAGAGTTCGATTGCGTAGCCTTGTGACGACATCTTTTGGTTGATTTCGTTTGGGGATTTTGAAGATTGAGGATGGAATTGAAAAGGGTAGTGACGATCTGAGAGAGAGATGTTGGAGTTTTTGGTGAAGAGAGAAACCCTAAGAAGAGAGATTTGGGAGGGAGTGAGAGAGAGAGAGTTGTGGAGAAGAAGACGAAGGGGAAAGGGGAAAATTTTCAAAGTAATTAAATTAATTTTAATTTATTTTATATTTTACTATTTTTGATATACATTTTGTAAAATAACTTTTACTGAGGTAAAATATTACTCAAAATTTTTTAAATATTAGTATTATTTATACATTTAAAATTTTATAAATTTTAAAATATTAAAAACATTTAAATTTAAATTTATAAAAAGTTTAAAATGTTATGGGATGACTTGTTTATAGAGAAAATGTTTGGCAGTTACACGAAAAAACGTTAAGACATAGTCACACATACAAACTTTAAAAATGTCTTGTTAGCTACACCAAATATTGACATCACATACAGACATCCCCAAACTAATATAAGTCATGTTGCAAACACCATAACCATCCAATTCCAGTACTTCTTTGTCGATGAGTTTTGCGGTTGGCATTCGAACATGTTCATATTATTTAAAAACATTTGTTAAAAAATGAGTAACATGTGTTTAGTTACAAGCTCTATATAACATTTTATTGATACTAAATAGAGTGCTTCTAATCTCTATCAACATAAACACATTCTACAAAGAGATACTCATAATAATCATCGTTTCCAACATTCTTTTAAATCTATATTTGGTCGTCTATGTTTTTTATAAGAAGAGGAGCTTCTTCAGAAAGTGACAACGATTCAGTCTTCTCTTCTTTTGCTTTTCCCCACATCACAGTGTAAAACCCTAATGATATCAAAATCCCTCCGATCAAACTGCAACATTAACCACAAAACAAGAAACTATTAGATGTTTGGTTTTTCTTGTTTCACAAACAAGTGTGTCTGAAGATTATTGATTTATATATACATATACCTTCCGAGGTAAAAAAACTCGACAAGAAAAATGGCTCCCATAATCACTGCTATTAAAATCGATAAAGGTCTGAATATAGCTAAGTAAACAGGTCCTTTATTACGTACTGCCCACAGATGAATCGCGTAATATCCTGGATTAAATATTCCCTGAGAAAAATAGTTATACTATAGTATTGAAACAAAATTTAAAATATAATTAAGTTTTTCTTGAAAATTAAAATTTACGTACCCCAACAACTATGCAAACCAATGTAATGTCAAAATGAATGATCCATATGCTCGGATTGTTCTTTTCTGCTACGATTGCGATCAATGACGTCAAGATTGAAGCAATCAGAAAATAGAAGAAAGAGACCGTGAATGGTGATGGATATATCTTCATTATGTGTGCCTGTCCAATTCAATACTATAAGGAAAATTTAGTTTATGTACATACATGTATCAAGATATCAAGTTAAAAGAATTAATATGATATTACTTGAAGAATGAAAGCAACAGGAACGAGGGTGTCTTTGACGGCTAAAAGGCAACCACCGATGATCCAATCGGAGTTTGAGGATGATAACGGCGGAAGAAGCTGGCGGAGTTGTGGAAGCGGCGGAGAAGATGGGCTGAAGACTCGTGGACCATGGTAGAGAACTACCACAAGTGCCCCAACTAGTGAAACTATTGTCCCAACCATTTTGGCTACACTACTCTTTTCTTTGAAAGATGCTTTCTCCATTCTATTTTTTGTTTAACAAATTGAAAACATGACAAATATTTAAATGAAGAAATATTTTTCTTAAATGGTAAAAGCAATCATTTTAATCATATAAATGAAAATTTTCAAAATTACTATATTACCAATGAAACTATTTTTAAAATGTAATTATTTTCGCTTCTCGTAAACGAATATACCTATATTTAACACATTATTTTAAACAAAAAAAATTATTTAACACATTAAATAATAATATAAAAATTTATTATAATAAACTAAATATATAAATTAAAGGTTGCAATAGCCGACAAAAAAAAAAATTAAAGGTTGCAATAATTTGTGAAGAGTTACAATAATTAGACGCAACCACATAAGATATTCGAATTACAATTTTCTAAAAAACGTAACCGTAAAATATATATTTTAATTTTAAAAAAATTTAACGAAAATGTGCGATTAAAAAACACAACCGTTCAGATATGCAAAATGCATTTATTGAGAATGTTATTATATATAGATTACACATTTATATATAAATATTAAATATGATAAATTAAATGTTATGGTGAACTTTGTCATTACGTACTGTAAAAATGTTTGGCAGCTACACGAAAAAACTTCTGAAACTCTTTATATACATAAAATTCATTAAAAGATAAGTAAAAAATTAGTGTTACGAAACCCTAAAATTGTTGTTTTTATTTAAAACATCACTAATCGGATCTGATGTTACATTACAGTTAATGTCCAATTAAAATAATGAACCTGACTAACATGTGCCACACAATTATCCCTGTCATTTTCCTGAACCTGATGTAGATCTACCAATAACTAAACTTTGTTAGAAACTTATTATTCTGAAATTTTATTATTAAACATGTAAATAAATACAAAATTCATTTATTTATCTTGCAAACTGATGATTCAAGTGCCTTAAACTACAAAACAGCTCACCTCTATCGAATAATCCTATCTGTATTATATTCCCTTTATTAAAGTAACCCAAAAAATCATGAACTAAACTATAAGCATAGTTCCTGCCACTACCACTACCACTACCACTACCACTACCATTTATATGTGACTCTTATTAATGAGAAAAAAGTTTCTGCTATATATTTTTTTGTTGTGACAAAATATATATATATATATTTCTGTTAATGGGTAGAAAATTTCTGACATGACTAATGAACAGTTCATAAGTGTAACAAAAAAAGGAAATGGATTAAAATAAAACCTGAAGATAATGGCGAGGATGAAGGTAATGGCAGGATTGATATTGCTAATGGCTGAAGCTAAAGTTGGGTTGCTGTATTCGATGCCTATGAATCCTGTGATCAGATACGTTGATCTGTTTATTTTATATTTATATTAGCAAAAAGTAAAATATGTTAGGAACATTTTCAGGTTAATAAAAATTGCTTTACTAAAAATTAGGAAAATAATTACATTCAAAAGTTGAAGAAGAACAAGAAGTGTAGTTGGCTTTACCCTAGTAGCCCAAGAACTCCAATTTTACAGAGTATTGAGAGACTTAATGGAGGAAGTGATCTTGACCTACAAAAAAATAATAATCAAATGAAAACTTTTGACAAAACAAGAAACAATCAAACATGGTTTATTAACTAACCAAAAGATTAAAAAAAGGTTGTTATTTAGAAACCTATATGAGAAGATGTGAGAAGGAAGAAGAAAAAGAGAGCCAATGAGATAAGAGTAGATGAGGAAGGTATAAGAATTAAGGCCTTTTGAAGTAGCTGCTTTAAATAGAGTATTCATCGCCACGTTTCCGGTTTCAGTCGCTAACATCGCCGTCAATAACACGGCGTCTCTCCGACGGAGACTAATGGAAGCCATTGTTGGCAAGTCAAAAGATAGAGAGCTTAATGTGTGGAATGACTAATGAGAGAAGCCTTATAAAAATCCAGTAGAGTTCTTTATAATATCTTGTGTTCCTATTTGGGACCAAAATGATGATTAAGACAAAAATAAAATTATTGAGATTTTGGTGGGCCTTCCTAATCATTTGGTCTCTCCTAGTTTTACGTGAAATGATAATTTAAATTTCCGTATCCTTATTGGACCTTGCCTATGCTTATTGGACCTTCTCAAGAATGGTTTTTCTTTTAACTCTCTTGGAATGGGAAGTCCCGTTCACAAACCTCAAATGATTTTCTTTTAACTCTCTTGGAGATGGACAAATTCTTCAACAAAGAGTTTCTTGCAAATACTCTATCGATACAACACCCGGATCGAAATCCAAATGACTAAGTTTTCGTCATGCAATACTGTTATTTTTTTTTTGAATTTAATGTTAAATTATATTCAAAAGAAAAATAAATGTTTTTACATATGAAATGCTAACTTTTCGAAACATTTTGAATAGAGCTTTTATAGTGTATTCTCTATTGTCTTGATTCAAACCAAGCTTGGATGCCACCTGCAAATCTCAAATCTTCCCCTCCTTGGATTGTGCTTAAACGGTTTCAAGCTTGGATGTCATGCAATATTGTTCTGATCTAATTATATTAATCTGTTTTAACATTATGTTATAATTATATCAATAAAATTATTGTAATATTTCAAGTTATGTACAAAGCAATATGTACACATTAACCAAAAGTGTAACTACGAGTATGTAAAAACAACATACTAAATTTGGTCATTGTAGCCGTTCAATAGAAGAGGGGTTTTCTCTTTTTCCGAAAGTAATAACAACTGATCCTTCTCTTCGTTTGCTTTGCCCCACATCACAGCGTAGAAGCCTAAAGTTATCAAAATTCCTCCGATCAAACTGCAAAATGAAGGACAAAATCGAAGATGAGCAAATGTTTTTGTTTATAGATATGTGTATGAATTGAAGACTATTGATTCATATACCATCCGAGATAGAGAGAATCGTTGAGAAAAATGGCCCCCATAACCACTGCTATTAAAATCGACAAAGGCTTAAATATCGCTAAGTATAGAGGTCCTTTGTGACGTACTGTCCATGAATGAATCACATAGTATACTGAAGTAACTATTGCCTGAAATGTTTTATAAAAGACTATGTTAAGATCAAAAGTAAATATATTGGTAATTTGTTTAAAATACGTATATCGTACCATAGTAACAATTGTAATCAAAGTAATGTCAAATCGAATGATCCAAACGCTTGGATTGTTCTTTTCCACTACTAGTCCAATCACTGAAGTCACGATTGAAACTGATACGGTGTAGAGGAAGGAGACTGTGAATGCTGCTGGATATTCACTCATTATTTGTGCCTGTCCAAAATCGTTATATAGAATAAACATTGAAAGTTTATTATGGCCGTTATGGTTCTCCACTTAACCATAAAGTTTTGGATTATATGATTATATCTATTATGTATAAGAACAAAAAATGTTACCTGGAGAATGAAAGATACAGAAACGAAGATGTCTCTTATGGTTAGAAGAGCTCCGCCGATGAGCCAATCTGAATTTGAAGATGATAACGGTGGAGGAAGCTGACGGAAGTTTAGATACGGCGGAGATGATGCGATGAAGACACGTGGACCGTGGTAGAGAACCACCACAAGTGCGCCTATTAAGGACAATATTGTTCCTATCACTTTGGCCACACTGCTCCTTTCTTTGAAAGATACCTTTTCCATTCTTTATTCACAAATTAAAATTATGTGTTATATTTTATGGATTCTAAAAAAAGAAACAAAGGCATAAATTCCATCGAAAATAGTCAAAGAAAGACGAATTGATACGCATGTAGTTGAATAATGCAAACAAACAGTTTTTATGTATGATTTTCTAAATACTAGATAAAAACCCGCACTATGTGCGGGATAAAACGATTCAAGTAAAACTATAATAGATAAAATTATTAATGGGATCTAAGATCCGTTTGTATAAAACGAAACATATAATAAAGTTTTTTGTTCAATTCAAATTTGCAAATATTTTGTATAAAAATTTGATTTCACCCGTAAAATATTTGAGCGTGGTAAAAATCTTCCATGTGGATAAAGTATTGATGAATATTATCATTTATGGCACATATATCTTTTTGGGTTTTTAATAATTAAATTCATATATTTTATGTTTCGTGACCGCATTCATAGAACATCAAAACTAAAACGCCTCATTATATGATTACATGTAGACTCTTGAAAAAAAAATGCCTTATTATTGATCAACTAAATCAAACTAAAAGATTGAGGGAGTAATAATATGGGTTCCATTAATTTCATAATATCATTCCTACATTTTCTACTTCTTTAAAGTTTTAAAATCAATATTTCATTTAAAGTATCTCCAAAATTTATTCTTTTACATGTATATTTTCTAAATCATAATTTCTTAATATTTATATATCTTTTGTTAGGATTTTTTTTTGGATAAGTCAACTAATATATTTCAATATTCTTTTGTTAGGATACATATAGTAGTAGTACATGGTAAAATTATATAAGTCCATATATGAAAGTTTTGAGGTAATTATAAATTCGGTTATTAACTTATAGTTAGCAAGTACCATAATCGGTGGAAGAATTTGAATTACCAATCAATTATCAAAGATTGTTAGATTCCATATTTTAGATATTTTGTGGATATTAATATTTTTAAATTGATTCATCCTTTTAAATGTAACGTGTATATATGATAAAAACATGTATAGTTGTAAAGTTAATCGATACAGAAAATGTTAGGTGCTTCATCTTGTAAAGATTAGTAACTCTTAACTGCAAATGTTAAATATAATTTCGTTTTAATTATTTGATTGAAATAAGAACATGTTAAGTGCCTTGCTAGTTAAGTGCATTTTTTAATTTTAATTTTGGATTAATGAATGAGTAAAATCAGTGTTATTAATACCAATGGCAAATTGATGTAAATATTCTAGTATAGGATGGAAAATTAATTAAATGAGTTGAGGAGCTCTGTTAACGCGACACGTCAGCATGGCATTTTCGTTAATCACACGTAAGGGTAAGGTTATTTTTAAAAAATGCTTCTCAATTAATATATAAGGGATGAGTTGAGGAGCTCTGTTAACGCGACACGTCAGCATGGCATTTTCGTTAATCACACGTAAGGGTAAGGTTATTTTTAAAAAATGCTTCTCAATTAATATATAAGGGATATATATCTCATTTAGGATTTATCTAATGAAAAAATATTTATGTCTTATACAAGTGTATTGTCATAGACTGATTTCTCATGAGAATAAGATAAAGATAAGATATAAAATAAAAATAAGAATAAAGATAAGATGCGAGTTGTAAGATAAGAAAGGAATATTCTAGCGAGTGTAAGATAAGAAAAGAATACTCTACGTTATAAGATAAGAAAGGAATATTTTATGTAATATTTTCTAAGTCTTGTACTATAATTAAAGAAGCTTGGAGGTGTGTTAGGACCAAGCTAAGCGAGTGAGAAAGAGTTTGAGAGAGTCTTGTAGTCCTTTGAGTGTTTTAATAAAATCTCCCCCTTTGTATATAATCCTTTTCTCTTCTATATACTTCCCTTCATATAGTAGTTTGTCCATACTTCTGATCCTAAATACCTCCTTCGTGGTTGTACCTACTATGTGTCTGTAAATTTGGTATCAGAGTCATGGCAGTATAAGCTTTAGCTCTTACCTTCCTGAGTCGTAATACATCCTCGGATCGTTTTTTTACCATATGCTAGTATGGAGAGTATGCTCTGTGGTTGCCATGTTCATGGATCCTCCACATCAGAAATCCAGCTAAACTAGATAAAGAGGGTATAGAGAAAGAAATCTGTGAGGTCGTAATGCTCGAAGTACCTTGAGGTTCCAATGGTTGTTAAGAGTTTTGCCTCGGTTTGCGTAGCTAAGTACCTCTTGATTAATTTCTTTATATTCTTAGCACTTGTTGAAATAAGAAAAACAACTCAAGGTTTGTTATTACTTCAAAGGTAGGGTAAGATATAAGGCATTCTGTTATGGTTTCTGGCCTCTACATACACTATGGAAAGTTCATCTTTTTTAATAAAATCCTCTTCTTTCAGAAAATCAAACGCTAGTAAAATAGACTATCTATATGAAGTAGAATATGTAAGTGATGAGAGTAAAGTTCCTATTACCCAATTTCCTTTATTAAATCCCTATAAAGCTTTCACAAAACCCAACTCTACTTTCCCAAAAGTCATAAAAAGTGTTTTTGGTCCTCACAAGCATGCGGCGAGAGCGGCGAGAGAACTTGTTCTAGCCTCCCAGCTTGAACAACATCTTGAGGTTGCCTCAAGCAATCATACCTAAACTCACTTCCATAGGTATGATTGCTTGAGGTTGACGTCATCTATCGCGTTTAGGCTGGACAAGATGTTGTTCAAGCTGGGAGGCTAGAACAAGTTCTCTCGCCGCATGCTTGTGAGGACCAAAAACACTTTTTATGACTTTTGGGAAAGTAGAGTTGGGTTTTGTGAAAGCTTTATAGGGATTTAATAAAGGAAGTTGGGTAATAGGAACTTTACTCTCATCACTTACATATTCTACTTCATATAGATAGTCTATTTTACTAGCGTTTGATTTTCTGAAAGAAGAGGATTTTATTAAAGAATATGAACTTTCCATAGTGTATGTAGAGGCCAGAAACCATAACAGAATGTCTTATATCTTACCCTACCTTTGAAGTAATAACAAACCTTGAGTTGTTTTTCTTATTTCAACAAGTGCTAAGAATATAAAGAAATTAATCAAGAGGTACTTAGCTACGCAAACCGAGGCAAAACTCTTAACAACCATTGGAGCCTCAAGGTACTTCGAGCATTACGACCTCACAGATTTCTTTCTCTATACCCTCTTTATCTAGCTTAGCTGGATTTCTGATGTGGAGGATCCATGAACATGGCAACCACAGAGCATACTCTCCATACTAGCATATGGTAGAAAAACGACCCGAGGATGTATTACGACTCATGAAGGTAAGAGCTAAAGCTTAGACTGCCATGACTCTGATACCAAATTTACAGACACATAGTAGGTACAACCACGAAGGAGGTATTTAGGATCAGAAGTATGGACAAACTACTATATGAAGGGAAGTATATAGAAGAGGAAGGGATTATATACAAAGGGGGAGATTTTATTAAAACACTCAAAGGACTACAAGACTCTCTCAAACTCTTTCTCACTCGCTTAGCTTGGTCCTAACACACCTCCAAGCTTCTTTATTTATAGTACAAGACTTAGAGAATATTACCTAGAATATTTCTTTCTTATCTTACAACCTAGAGTATTCTTTTCTTATCTTACACTCGCTAGAATATTCCTTTGTTATCTTACACTCGCATCTTATCTTTATTCTTATCTTTATTTTATATCTTATCTTTATTTTATTCAAATTTACAGTGAGGCTTAGCATTTTTCCACTCCATGTGTTAGCGCAATCAGCATTACTCAAAATGAACTCGATACTTAGAGAAGTGGATTGTATTGTTACAAATTCTTGGATGCTAAAAAATAAGAGATCCTGATTTTAATATCCAAATATTTAACACATATTCAAACTATATGGTCTACATTCAAGAGTTGTATTCACTAAATTTTTTTTTAAAAATTTTTTAAAATTACATTTTTGGAATTTGTTGAAAAAAAGTTACGATAGTGACTATGTAGAATAAAGTTGATAAGTGTTTTTGTCTCGGTTTATATTCTTAGCGCTTATTGATAAAAATAAAAATAACTCATTGTTTGTTATCTTTTCAAAAGATAGATAAGAAATAAAGTCCTCTATTTTTTGTAGATAAAAAATTTTATACAAAAGAGAGAGACTTTATTTACTAAGAACACTCAAAGAATTATAAACACTCTCAAACTCTTTTTCACTCACTTAGCTTTGTTCTAACTTCTAACCCCTCACCAAGTTTTGGTATTTATAGTACAAAGCTTAAGAAATATTAAATAGAATATTCTTTAAAATATTTTACATATTTAATTTACAACCATAACTTTATTCAACACACTCACAGTAATAAGTTTTTTCAACACACTCTTAATCACATATTACATTCCAGAAATATACTTTAAAATAAGTTTTAAAAATATGTGTTAGTGAATACAACACTTGAATGTAGACCATATAGTTTGAATATGTGTTAACTAATAACTTAAATAAACATATTTTTTAGATTTATATTTAATATTATAATGCATTAAAAAATTTATCTAAATTTTTACAAGCACCTTTATTTTATTTTATATTACCAACTTTAGCATATTTATTTATATAATTAAATTTTCACTACTCTTCGTTTACCGAATTCACTATACATATACATACGTCTCTGAGATATTGGTAGCATAGCCGCATAGGGCTCCGCAATTGGCAACTAGGAATTACCAAATTAGGAAAATCTCGGTTAGCAAAATATATTGGTTAGTAAAACCTAACATGATCCAACTTAAAAAAAAAAACTTAAGTTGGTGAACTAAAAACAATATTCAATTTTAAGTTGCCTTTTTTAGCCAATTATGCCCGTGAAAAAAATTGTTACAATTTCGTCACGTGAACTAGAATAGTCTGTTTTAGAATAATCTGAAATCTGCAAATATTGGGAAAAGAAAAAAATCAAACCTGAAGATAATGGCGAGGATAAAGGTAAGAGCAGGAGTGATATTGCTAATGGCAGAGGCTAAGGTTGGGTTGCTGTATTTGATGCCTATGTATCCTGTGATCACATACATTGATCTGTTGTGTTTTTTTTTTTTCAGCCAAAAACCATTTATTAGAATGGCCCCAAAAAAATTACATATTAATAAATAGGGACATAATTTCATATTTAAAATAGGAAAAATAAAGATTGTGTTATTTAGACTTTACCCTAGCAATCCAAGAAGTCCTATTTTACAAAGTATTGAGAAACTTAATGGAGGAAGAGATCTTGACCTGTAAAAAAAACAAAAAAAATATACAAATGAAATGAAATCATTACCACAAAATGTTTATGAATGGTCTTAAAGAATAAAGTTATTAGAAACCTGTTGGAGAAGAAAAAAGAAGGAAGAAGAAGGAGAGAAGCAAGAAGATAAGAATAGCCGAGGAAAGCATAAAGATTGAGTCCCTTTGAAGTTGCTACTTTAAACAAAGTACTTATTCCAACGACGGCGGTTTCAGTCGCCAGCATCGCCGTCAAGAACAAGGCCTCTCTCCGCCAGAGACTTACTGTCCCGGCCATTATTGGAAATGATAGAAAGATTAGTGTGAAATGTGAGTCTTTATTTCATTGTCCTTTTGTTACGATAAAAGTAATGGCATTAATTCTCTGGGTCTAATAATTATCGTTTGTTGACTTTATAATACGATTAGACACATATATATATCAGAAGAAGTTGTAGTCTCCCACTTGGCCACTTCTTCTTCTTTCTTGTAGTCTTATACCTCTTTTCATTTTCAATACTATACTTGTATGAGTGTATCCATAGCATTTGGTATAAAACAAAAACAAAAGCAAGTTATGTTGATTCGAAAGTAAACAGAAATAATGAAACTACAATTCTATGAACACAGAAAAATGGAAGAGTAACCTGAGCATCAGTGTCAATCTAGACATGGGTCCTTTTTGTTTTCTCCATGGCCCTAGCTACTTAGGTGCCGTTCACTTCTTTATAGATTCACCACATTTGCTTTTTACTTTCTGCTTGTGGTGCTTCTTAAGCTTCTTCAACACACTTGTGGTGCAATGTGTAAGAAAAAGAAAATCAACATGACTCTAATTAGGATTTGAAAGCATCTGAGCGTTATTAATCACACAAACCTGAAATTAAGCGTTCATCTTCCCAAGTTTGCTCTACGTTCTTCTTTGCATTCTTCTCTTTCTTATTTCATTTAAAAGAATTTCTCCCCAAGAAAATTATAGACTTCAAGAGAATTTAGAGATTATGAGTTCACCATAAGATAAATCTTCAGATAATTAATGAATGGTTTTAAAGATTGTGATATGAAATTTTAGGGATCTCTATAATAGTTTTTTTTAAAATAAAAATAGTTAATAAGAGGATACATTTTTTTTTTTAAACTGAATTTGCGAATAATTTTTTTTATTGATTTCTTAAAAAATATGAAGTTAGTCCAGGTAGCAAAATTTAATTGCTCATGTGACTTGTGCTTTATAATATAAACAATTATCCAGAGTTCGTAAATTTCTCCATTATTCTAACTTATTTTCTTATTTAAATTTGTTCGTTCTTGCCACTCAATAGAAGAGGGGATTTCTCTTTTCTGGAAAATGATAACAACTGGTCCTTCTCTTCGTTTGCTTTGCCCCACATCACAGCGTAGAAGCCTAAAGTTATCAAAATTCCTCCGATCAAACTGCAAAATGAAGGACAAAATCGAAGATGAGCAAATGTTTCTGTTTATAGATATGTGTATGAAGAGTACTATTGATTCATATATATACCATCCGAGATAGAGAGAATCGTTGAGAAAAATGGCCCCCATAATCACTGCTATTAAAATCGACAAAGGCTTAAATATCGCTAAGTATAGAGGTCCTTTATGTCGTACTGTCCATGAATGAATCACATAGTATACTGAAGTTATTATTGCCTGAAATATTTTATAAAAGACTATTATGTTAAGATCACAAGGAAATAATTTTTGGGTAAATTATTTTTAAAGATATATAACGTACCATAGTTACAATTGTTATTAAAGTAATATCAAAATGAATGATCCAAACGCTTGGATTGTTCTTTTCGGCTACTAGTCCAATCGTCGAGGTCACGATTGAAACACATACAGTGTAAAGAAAGGAGACTCTAAATGCTGCTGGATACTCACTCATTATATGTGCCTGTCCAAAATCGTTATATCGAATAATCATTAGAATTAAATTATTTCTGTTATGTATAAGAACAAAATGTGGTACCTGGAGAATGAAAGAGACAGAAACAAAGATGCCTTGTATGGTTAGAAGAGCTCCTCCGATGAGCCAATCGGAGTTTGAAGATGACATCGGTGGAAAAAGCTGACGGAAGTTTAGATACGGCGGAGAAGATGCAACGAAGACACGTGGACCGTGGTAGAAAATCACTACAAGTGCACCTATTAGTGACAATATCGTCCCCATCACTTTGGCTACACTGCTCCTTTCTTTGAATGATACTTTCTCCATCCTTTATTTCACAAAATGAAATTTATTGTGTTAAGTTTTATTCCAAAAGAAGGCCAAAAATAATCAATGAAACACAAATTAATACGCATTTATTCTATTCATGCAAACAGCCTTGTTAGATTTGGACCACAATCCACAAGATTGTGCAATGGTGCGATAGTAACAAACTTATCTTCTTGTCAATTACCATAAATATAGATACCGAAAACCTGAATAAATGTATGCATTGAAGGAAAGAAAGAATGAAAGAAGAAGAATTAAAACGCATTTACCATAAATCATCAAACAAGGTTTTATGCATTTTTATTCATTTTAGTTAAGTGTTACAAGCGACGTAATATATCCTTTTAAATGCTATTATTTAATTGAAACATCTAATTTATCAAATGAATTTAAATTTGTTTCATAGTGTGATCTTATTATCTTAGAGTTATAGTTACTATTTAGCTTGTTGAATATTAGTATATCTTAAAATGATCCAAATGATTATATTTGTAAATGTACATTTGATAAAGTAAATTTTCACCCAATCCTTTTATTGGTACTCTTCTGACATTTATTATTTACCTAACATTGTTTACCTAATTTACTGTAAATAAGAGTATGAGACACTAGTTGTGGGATATAGGGGTGAACAAATATTCTATATTAGGTAAGACAGCTAGTGGAAAATAATTGGTTACCAAACTATTGTATATTGTTGAATATAGTGAAGTGAAAACTAACATGATCTAAGAAAAACATACTTTCTCGAATTGAAAAAATCATTGGGGAATTTGAAGTAATTGATCTTGTTGACTCTAATCTGTATTAATCTGAATGAAAAAAAAAATCTTAAATCAACAAATTAAAACTTTATAATTAGTAAAAGAAAACAAAAACCTGAAGATAACGGCGAGGATAAAGGTAAGAGCAGGAGTGATATTGTTTATGGCGGAGGCTAATGTTGGGCTGCTGTATTCGATGCCTATGTATCCTGTGATCACATACATTGATCTGTTCTTTTTTTTTTAATGTAAATTTTCAGCCAAAAATCATATATTAGCAACATTTAGTGGAAGATAGTTACATAATTCAAAATTAGAGTAAGGAGTGTGTTATTTTGATTTTACCCTAGAAATCCAAGAAGACCGATCTTACAGAGTATTGAGACACTTAGTGGAGGAAGTGATCTTGACCTGTGTAACACAAAAACATACAAATCATCAAATGAAATCAATACAAAAGAATGGTTATGAATGGTCTTATAAAAATTAAAGTTATTAGAAACCTGTTGGTGAAGAAAAGAGAAGGAAGAAGAAGAAGAGAAGCTAGAAGATAAGAATAGCCGAGGAAAGGATAAATGTTGAGTCCCTTTGAAGTTGCTACTTTAAATAAAGTACTTATTCCGACGACGCTGGTTTCGACCGCTAGCATTGCCGTCAAGAACACGGCCTCTCCGCGCCAAAGACTTACGGCTCCGGCCATTATTGGAAGTGATAGAAAACTTGTTGTGGAATGTGAGTCTTTAATTTGTTATCGCTTTGTTGCTTTTATTTATGTTACAAGTAAAAGGAAATGGCATTTTATGGGTCCAATAATTGGGGTTTCTTGAATTAATTATAAGATTCCCTATTCTTTGGGCCAATGAACTATAGAAAAGGACCACTAGAGAATAGAGATAACACGCGTATACAGTTCTCCTGCTAATTTTCATCACTGGACTTCTCACACATATTAGACTAGACAATAAGCAATCTTAAATAGGCTTTGAATTGGTAGCCATTTACCGATGTTGTAAGAGGTTAATCGCTTCTATGGTAACAAAATCAATGTGGTACAAAAGGATATTAAAACAGTACTAATTTCAAAGAGGTACACATTTTTTTTCAGTTGAAAATCCAAGCGGTATATAACTATTAATGCCTTTGTTTTACTTTATCGCTTTCGCTTACAAGTTTCTCTTACACATAAACAAGTTTTTAAAGCCTTCGGAACGTAGCGGACCGACCGTTGGATAGAGGTGGGGCCTACGGGCTCGAGAGAGGACATGAATGCTCACTGATAGGGACGGTCGGAACGTTACACAGTCACAATTCTTGTTTTGCCACTGCCTCAAATCTAATTTTCTGAGTTGTTTTTGAAGGACTTCAGATTCAATTTTTTTGTACATAACGTAGCTCACACAAAGGTCGTTGCCTCCATTTCTATACTAATCATGCCACTATGCCTTAGACATTGGATTTGGATAAATCGCTACAGCCATTTGCTATATGAAATAATGAATTATGGACACTGAAATCTTGAAAATTAATTGTTCCTACACCAGTACAAAATGCTACAATGTTAGACTTGTTTCTCTGCGGCATAATTCATCAAAAGCGGAACTCTCTTCGAATGCGACGATGTTGCGACATTAGTTTCGATATCAGCCTTCTCTTCCTTTGCTTTTCCCCACATTACCGTGTAAAAACCGATTGATATCAACGTTCCACCAATCACACTGCCAAATATAAATAGTAAAAACTGAAAGTGAAAATCCAAGATGAATAATACTAATGCGGTGATCCATTTTTTGAGATATTAAACATTTCTTCTTTCACCTTCCGAGATAGAGAGAATCGCCTAGAAATATTGCCCCTAGTACCACTGCGGTTAATATAGATAATGGCCTGAACATCGCTAGAAATACTGGCCCCTTATGTCGCACTGTCCATGACTCAACAACATAGCCCGTCGTATTTACCAGTCCCTAAGGTAACATTTACACAAATTTAAACCTAATAAGATAATTAGTTATCTTGAATTGACCAAAACCATATATAGAAACATTTCCATACCGTTGCGACGATGCATACCAACATAATTTTCGATCTCATAATCCACGCGTTAGGATTGTTCTTCTCCGCAAATAAACTAACAAATGCACAAGAGATTGAAACGCAGACATTGTGGGAAAGTGCCAAGGCAAATTCCGACGGATATTCCCTCATTATGTGTGTCTACTCCAACCAAAAATGTTACGAAAAGATTTAAATTAGCTTAAGTTTCGTTAAATAAATCAATAGATATATCTTGTATGACCAAAGTGTTACAATGTTAATTTTGTTTATACCTGAATAATGTAAGAGACGGCAATGAGAGTGTACTCAAGGGCTAAAAGACCTCCGCCGATAACCCAATTAGAATTTGACGGTGGCGATGGAGGTGCCAAAAGAGGCTGAGGGAGATAAACGGACGGCTGAGATGCGGCGAAGATGATGGGGCCATGGTATAGAGTGGCCACAAGTGCACCCACTATGCAAACTATTGTCCCAACTACTTTAGCTACGCTGCTATTTTTCTTTATAGATACCTTCTCCATTCTTACAATACCAAAATATAATTTTGAGTCCAAAATTTTGGTTTAAAATTTAGATATTATTTTTTATACAAAAACCAACGAGGTAATAAAATTTTCAAACTGGATAAATTAAGAAACCACTATATCCTCCAATTCTAAAATGTCTACACCTAGTCTTTTTTTTTTTTTTTTTTTGACTCAGGATAAATTCATAGGACTAAGAAGGGATCCGAGACTAATCTTTGGAAGAGGATAACCCACAGATAGATTCTCCCCCTTCCCCTTCCCACAATTTTTCAAATGGGTCATAAGCAATGGGCTCACACCCGCGTGGCCATATGGAAAATGAAGAACAATTCCGCATCTAGCAGTGGCGGATCTAGGAAAATTGTTTGATGGTGTCAAAATAAGTTTGCTCAAAAAAATTTACAACCCGATAAAAACTGTAACTATAAATAACATCCAAAGAAAATTCATTACAATGCCGATATATCAAAGACCTTCATCTTAAAGATGTATCAAATGAATTGGGTATTTGGATTGAATATTTATAAATATAATGGGTTCAAACTTACAAATGAATTGGGTTCTAAAAATTGGGTTGGGTTCAAGCTTCATAATGAAACTGATATATATTAAAATTTTAATATAATTAAAACGTTTTTACAAATTTTAATGGTGTCAAATGCACCCACTAACTTCAACGTGCCTCCGCCACTGGCATCTAGGGAGAATTGATTCCTGACCTAGAACAACAGAACAACTCTTCCACCGGACAAGAACCACTCGCCCACCACACATGTGGTTCAATGTCTACACCTAGTTAGTACTTACTAAAAATGTCTACACCTAGTTAGTAACAAGTTTTAAACCAAAATGCCAAACCAAATATCAAACAAAGAATCCTTGATAAACCGAACCAAAATCCTAATTTGGTATGTAACTCAGATCGGTTACGGAGATTAGTAATCAGATAAGCACTGAAAATGAATCAAACCAAACTTGGTGTTGTTAGGGTTTGCATAGAAAGTTACCCAAAGAGAAGAGCAAAGAGGAAAGTGAAAGCAGGAGTGAGATTACTCATTGCTGATGCCAAAGTAGGAGAACTATATTTGATTCCTGTGTACCCCAACATCAAATACACACATCTGAACATCACCATTATCATCATCATCATCATCATCACTAATTAGTAAATTAATAAACATAAATCTTGATCCAAAATTGAAGATGAGCCACAGAGACCAAGAACTTACCCAAGTAATCCAAGAAGTCCCATTTTACATAGAACTGAGAATTTTAATGGTGGGAGAGATCTTGACCTGAGATTTTTAATTTCAAGATTTTGGATTTTGGAGATTCAAGAAGAAGATGAACTGATGGAGAGAGATACAGAGAGAGACCTGTGAGTGAGGAAAGGAGAAGGAAGAAGAAGAAGAGCTCCGATTCCATAAGAATAAACTAGGAAGACATACGAGCTCATTCCTTTTGAGCTAGCTGCTTTGAACAGAGTATTCATTCCGACGTCGGAGATCACAACCGCCACCATCGCCGTCATGATCCCACCGTCTTTTTGACAGAATCTCCCAGCCATTTTTTTTTTTCTAATTGTCTGAAATTCTGAATCTGAAACTCTGTTTTGAGGGTTTGACCAATTTAGAAGCTTTTAGAAATCTCAAATTCAATTTAGACAAACAAAATTTTTTTAATAAATCTCAAATTCAACTCTTTTAAGTTATTTTTTAGTAACTGGAATTTGACAAGTTTTCAATTAATTTTTTTTCTTTTTGAACAACTCAATTATTTTTCTTATAACCGCTAAAGTCAGTCTTTCGACCACTTTGTGTAGATTTCGATATTCGGTCGGTTCCGGCTTTTTCGATTCTAGAGTTTTTTTGATTCTAGAGTTTAAAATACAAAAAACTCGATTTGATTCCAGTTATTTCTGTTTTAGAGTATAACATCTATTCGGATATTTTGCTTTCAGATATTTCGGATTGATAATATTTAAAATATTAGTATTACTTAATGTAAATTATCTAAACTTGGATCTATTGATATTGTTATGTTAAATTATCTTTAATATATTTAAAATACTATTTTGTTAAATTATTAATTTTATCGATAAATTAATATTTCTATAAATTAATAAAACACTAAATCTTGATATTATTAATTTACATAGGGTTTATTGGTAGTTATTTCCATAGGTTTTATTGAACGTTACAGTTTTGTTTTTAGCGACTAAAAATCTAAAACGACACTGAATATTTAAGAACTAAATTTTGGGAATAGCGATCAATAGTTGAAACACATTGTCACCACTCACCACCATCATGTAAAGAGGTTCTTTAATGAAGAACCAGTCATACTCAAGGATAGTAGAATCATTCTAGTATAATCATGTAAAGGACTAAGAAAAAAGGATTAAAAAACGGACTTGTTAGATATCCTAGATTATAAGATTGTGATTAGAAAACACATGATTCCTAAACTTAAAGATCACATTTGTCTCGTCAAATAAATTACAAAGACAATTCACATATGAAATTTCCACACACATATATATAGCGTGATCTTCACTAGTTGATGATACTCAGACATGTTCATCGTTCTTGTAACTTTCCAAGAGAGGAGCCTTCTGTGAACCCGATGGAGAATCAAGGTCAGCTTCGTTGGCCTCCTCGTGGTTAGCCTTGTTGTCATCTTCGACCAAGGCCACTTCCTTTGCTTTGCCCCACATCACCGTGTAAAACCCGATTGTTATTACCGTTGCCCCGATCAAGCTGGGATCATCATTAAGCACATAAAGGAAACCAAAAGAGAGCTGAGGAAAGAAATGACTAGTTGACATTTTGCTCAGTTTTTGGAGGTATGGTTCGAAACATAACCGCGAGTTCCAAAATAATCTTGGACTCACCCCGTTACTATTTAAGTAAAAATTCCGCAATAGTCGGAGTGGGTCCATTAAGAAGAGATCAATGCTCTGCCTCGACCAACATGGGAAAACTACAATACTTGATTTGGATGTACGACTAATTTAAAGGCGTTAGTTGTTTTTTACCTGCCGATATAGAGAGAATCCCGGAGGAAGATAACGCCCATTGCAACAGCAATCGCAATCGACAATGGCTTGAACATTGCAACAAATAAAGGCCCCTTGATCCGCAATGCCCACGTGTGGATAGTATTGTTTATGCAAGATCCAAACAATCCCTAAACATAGAAATACAATCATCAAAACAAAAACAAAAAACCATTTTGCTTGTCAAAAAACTAATTACACTCATAATCTCTAGGAAAAAAACACATGAGTGTAATTATATTCTCACCGAGCAAACGATCGACACTAAAGCTATATTCGGTTTTATCTTCCATGCACCCAAGTCACTCCCTTCAGTGAACAATGTGACGAGCGCGGTCCAAAAGCTAACACCTATGCTATAAAAGCAAACAACGGTAAACTCGGCCGGATACTCTCTCATGATTTGAGTCTACAAAAACAAAAATCGAGATCATATGATTCTATCAGAAAACCAACAAATCATATAGTGAGATATATGTTATATATGCATATAAAGTTCAGACCTGAACAATGTACCACAATGGAACACAGAAATACTCAACCGAAAGGAAAGCCGCACCAAGTATCCAATTAGGGTTAGTCGATTGCGATCGCAAAGAAACAGACGGTGGCGACGTAGCAATCACAACAGGACCATTATAAAGAGTCACTATAAATGCACCTCCAATAGAAACAACGGTTCCTAACATTTTAGCTACACTACTTGTTCTCTTGAAAGACACACTCTCCATCCTACATTAAACAAAATGTTTCAAATCATAACCTCATGGGCTAAACAATGAGGCCCAAATACAGTTAATGGGCCAAGGATAATTTGGTAAATTGAGAGTGTAAAAGGAATATGTGAAAGAGGATATAAATGTTGTTGTCAAACCTGAAAACGACGGCAAGCAAGAAGGTGAAAGCAGGAGTGAGGTTGCTGATTGCAGAAGCAAGTGTTGGAGAACTATAATTTATCCCTGTGTATCCCATTATGTTTGAACAGCATCTATATACATTATCAACACAAAAGCTTTATTAACTAAAAATTTTGTAACCAAAAACCATATAATATATTCCAGTTTTTTTGCACCAAAAAAAAAAAATTCCAGTTTTTACTAAGATTAAATCATGAAAATAAACCCACAAAAATTGGATTTTAAAATAATAATAATAATAATGTTTTATAAATGGGGTTAGAATTTTGCAGTAAAGTTGCAGCTTTTGGAAGCAACTTTAAGCCAAATGTCTCTTAATTTATTTTCTTTCTAAAATTTGGTAAGAAAAACCTGAGAATTTCAGTAACACTCATGCAAAAAATTCATCTATTTTTTTATCAAATCAAGTAATTAAAGATCAAATCAAACATGTATATTTCTTGAAATTAAAGAAAATTTCAAGAAATGAGACTTTTTATTGGTAAAAAAATTCAAGAAATGAGAATTTTACCCAATAATCCCTAAAAGCACAATTTTGTAGAGAATCGAAAAATTCATCGGTGGAAGAGTTCTGGATCTGCAAAATAAACAAGAACCCATTACTCAATTTCAAGAAAGATGAAAACTTTATGTTTCAAGATCGAATCAAGAAGAGAGACCTGAAAGAGCAAAACAGAGAAGGAAGAAGAAGCAGAGCAGCGAGACCATAAGAGTAAACGATGAAGACATGAAAGCTCATGCCTTTCAAAGTTGCTGCTTTAAACAGAGTGTTTAAACCAACGTTTGCACATTCCATTATCACTAACGCCGTTACCGGCAAAACTTCTCTCTGAAAGTATTTTCGCGCCATCTTCTTCTCTCTGTTTTCTCTGTGATTTGTAGATGTGGAGATTCGAAGAAGTGATTTTTTTTTTTTTTTTTACATGAATTTTAAGATGAGATAAACAGAGAGAAGAGAAGAAAAGGTGAGTGGGTGAAAGTTAGATTTTGAGGAAATGGTATTGTGCAAGTGACAGACACTTGAGAGATATATGAAGCAGACAAAAAAAAGCCGTGTAACATGCTGACATGTTATATGTATTTGAGTTTTTTAGAGAAAAATTGTATGGAATGAAATTTAATTTTGGATTAGCTTATGTGAGTTTTAGATTATGATTAAAGTGTTTTGGATAGTAGATTATTTGAAAGAAAGTACACTTGGGATTCTTTTTAGATTGGATTTACTAATAGATTTAGTTAATTTACGGATTTAAATTTTGATTTTTGGAGTTTGATTGGATTTTAGTTATCAATCAAACGGATGTATCAAATGAATGAATACAATTAGTACTTAAAATAGACGGTGTGAACAAATTCTCGAAGCTAATACAAGAGATTATAAACTCTTTAAGAAATGGACAATTTACCAGCACTAGTTTCAAAATTATATTGCAACTTCAAAGAAATTTTTTTAGGTAAAACAAGAGAATTCTATGTTTCTGGAGCTCTTCTTACATTTTCTTTAAATAAATTATTTTAACATGTTTTTCTTTCATAAAAAAATTATTTTAACATATTTTTACTATTCAATTTTTTTACCACCAATTAATAAAATTATTCAGCCACTTCTTTTTTTTTTAACAAATTTGCTTTATCTTCTATTGCCATCTCATATCAAATCTAAGTATAACATCTTTGTAATAACCACTATATATATAACTGTCAAATAACATTTTTTTGTTAAAGTGTTAACACCATTTTTATAAACAAATTAGGTATACGACTTCCATAAAAATTTAAAACCATCCTATTTTTTCTTTAAGAACGTTCATAAGAATATATCTTCTTTTTGTCAAGTTCATAAGATTGTACATAATCACAAAAAAACAACCAAGGCCTAACTAATTGTCTATATAATAATTGAACACCAAAACACATGGTTTAGACCATTCGCATATAATGGAAGCATGCCTCTTCCACACGCCATACAAAAAAAAACCTAATGTGTACCTCATTAACAAGTAATATATTCCAATATAGAATGTTTATACATTTCGATATTCAAATACATAATATTTGGGTCTGTCCAAAAAAAGAACATTTGGGTATGACTTTTACGTCAATCATAAATAAGAAAATAACAAAATCTACAACAAAATTATTGTAGCCGTGATGCGCTTGTGTTTGTGTATTCAACTTGATAGAAAGCTATTTTTATTAGATGGCAAGAGATTTTGTCCTACAAGTAAATAAAAGAATAATAAACTTTTTTATTAGATGATAGAAAACGACGTCGAATACAAAAAAGATAATAAGAAAACAACCTTTCACAATAATATGTGCCACATTGTCTGTCTTTCTTACCCGTTTCAAGCCACCCCAATTTGTATTAATTGGATGTAATTTAATTAGGAGTTTCTTTATAAAGAAAACCAAAATGGACGGACAACAATAAATAAATACTTAAATCAATTACTCCATAACATATATCAAACATTGTTTACAAAGGTATTTTTAAAAGATTATTTTCAGAGAAAGTTCTAAGATGAAGCAACTCATTTTGATTTATCTATTGACTACGTTTTTGTCTTTGGATTAATTTGCAAACAAGAACAGAACATGGCTTAGTTAGAAACTAGCAATAGGAAAACTTGTTAGAAAATGCCAGAAGAGTATTTGCAAAAAAAAAAAAAAATAGAATCATTTGATATTTGCGTAAACGGATATATCAATATTTAACGAATTAAGCAATCATATAGAACCCCAAAACAATAAACTGCACATATATATGACGGATATATAAAATTTATTCCATTTGTATATATTTATATATATAAAAAGATGGTATGAAAAAGCATGCGATATATAATGTGAGTAAATTCGTATAAAATTTGTATTTGATGAATTATACGTCACATAAAAACATAATATGTTGTTATCAAGATAAATCATTTTTTCACATGGGCCATAACCTCTTTTGTCATTTTCTTAACTCTCTTTATCTTTTTAGTTTTTAGCAAATCAAATCAATTATATCTGTTGTCAATAATTTTTTTTATTGCTTATAAAATGACAGTTCAATTTTTTCTTGTTCGACACACAAAATCAAGACCTATTCCAAAAAAAAAGCAGACAATTCTATGAACATCGATAATTGATTTGTTCATTTTAATGAGAAAGATTAAAGATAAAGGATAAGATTTGGTCATAGGTCTTTGAGAACCATATAATCACAATTTTGAAAAATAAATGATTAGAATACGTTGAGAGAAATCTACCCAACTTAATTTTATTCACAAAATAGTTTGTTATACTTAAATTTATTTTTAGGGTGTTATTAGAAATTTTGATATACTCTTTTTAATGAGTTTTAATTTTCTTTTGTTTTTTTTTTTTTAATTTTAACACTTTGAACCTACTATACAAGTTTTGAATCCATCACTACCTTGAAACTTATAGTCCCGTGGATGGTGGGATTTATTCTATAAGAAATTTTTAATTGTTCAATGTCAGAAATTATTGTACATTTGTACTATATTACTAAATAACAAATGCATGTAGAATTCTCTGAAAAAAAGAAAACTAATAATGTCATGATAACAATGGTCAATGAGACAATGATCGTTACGATAATGATGACGAAGGAATACAAAACGTAACATTTTGAAATAAGAAATCTCTACCAAAAAAAGGCCAGAAAGACAAAGACAAAGAAAAAAATTGCAAAAAAAAAACTACTGAAAAATTAAACTAACACAGTTTTTTAGAAACTATCCATGATCCGGTGAGGAACAGGAGAATTGATGACCTGCAAGATCTGAACAATCTCGGCCATTGTTGGCCGATTCGAAGGTATTTGTGAAGTACAGACAAGAGCAAGTTTCAGAACAGGCAAAACCTCATCTTCAGAGTATTGTTCCTCCATCACAGGATCAATACACTCCAACACATTCCCTTGTTCTAACATAACTCGAACATGGTCGCTAAGTATCACAAAGCTGTCTTCACCGTACTCCACCGGTCTCCGACCAGTCACGAGTTCGAGTATCAAAACCCCGAACCCGTAAACATCGCATTTCTCGTTGACCCTTAAGTTTTGACATTCTAGTTCAGGCGCTACATAGCCTAAAGCGTTTTGAAATCTGTTGTTGTTCATTGTGTTACCGTCTTGTGTTGTTAGGAGACGAGAGAGTCCGAAATCGGAGATTTTCGGGTTGTTTTTTTCGTCGAGGAGGATGTTTGTTGGTTTCAGGTTGAAGTGGACGGTTGCTGGACGGAATGTGTGGTGAAGATAAGCTAGTCCTTTGGCCGTACCGAGGATGATTCTGTATCTTACGTCCCACGAAAGAGGCGGTGTCGAAGGTTCTCGTTCGTGTAACTTGGACTGCAAGTTTCCGTTGGGGATGTATTCTGATACTAGAAGATGCAACTCCGGTGTCCAGAAATACCCTTTGATTGATACTAGATTAGGGTGCTTCGCTTTCGCCAATATCCGAACTTCGCGATCAAAATCTTCTAGGTTTTGAAGAATTGGTGACGGGACAAGTTTCTTAACAGCCAAGTTTCTCCCCTGTTCTCCTAAAGGTGCCTTGTAGACTGTTCCAAAAACTCCTTCACCAATCCTTGAAGCTTTGTTCAGAAGAGAATCCGGGTTTCTTTCGAACTCTTGAGACGAAGAAGAGGAACGTGAAGTTCTTGAGTTTAACAGAACAAGTTTACCCATCATTAAGCTTCTTCCTGATTTCGAAGACCCCGAGAAAATGCTCTCCAACGCGTTGTCTACAAATGCAAGCCGTCTTCTCACAGACGCGTTAAGCAGCGTTATAATTATGACTCCAGAGAAGATGAGTATAGCGGCTGATATTGCTACAATCACTGAAACACTCAGGAACATTCTGTGGTGGAATTTTCCAGAACCACTGCTTGCTCGGTTTCCGGGCATATTGTTCCCATGCCCGTAGGAGTTTGGATCAATGACAAGAGGCTTTGGAACATTGAGTGTGCAAGGACCTCTCAACAATGGTGAACATATACCTAGGTTTCCTTGAATAGCACTCTGGTCTAAGCTTTGAAACACACCTCCAACTGGTAACCTTCCGATGAGTCGGTTAAACGAAACGTTAACCAATAACAGATTCTGCAATTCCCCGAGCTCTTTCGGTATTTCTCCACTAAGCTTATTGGCCTCTAGCTTCAGAATCTTGAGATCTTGTAAGTTTGAAAGAGATTTAGGAATAGGACCGGTAAGATTGTTATGAGACAAACTCCTGCAACAAGAAAACTTGTAATTAATAGAGGAAAACATTTGCAATGAAGCAAAAATGGATATAAGAAACAGAGACTTACAACAATTTAAGAGAAGAGCAGTTTCCGATTCCTTCCGGTATAGAACCGGTTAGTGAGTTACCATCCAACTGAAGGATCTGGAGACTCTGAGACTCACATATATCAGCAGGAACCGAACCAATCAGCGCGCTGTTCCTAAGATCCAAGACCGTTAAATTCTGTAGAAACTCGATTTCAGGAGGAACTCTTGTGTTGAAATGGTTCCATGACAAATTGAGGTATCTCATGTGGATGAAGAGCCCTACTTCACCAGGAATGCTTCCAGTGAGATTGTTACGCGAAAGATCTAGCATTTTAAGTGACTCAAAAAGCCTGCTTGAGCCTCTCGGGATCGAACCGGTAAAACCGTTACCCGAAAAATCCATTTCTTGAAGACCAAGATCAAACAAACCATCAGGAATGCTACCGGAGAAGCCATTACCTTTGAGCTGAACAACCATAAGCTCTTTGCATGATTCCAAAGACTCCGGAATCTCGCCGGAGAGTTTGTTCTCAGACAAGATTAGTTCCTTTAAAGATCTCAAGTTACCTATCAAAGAAGGAAGCTTCCCAGTTAACTCATTGCTGGAGAAATCCAAGTGTACTAAACCAGTCATATCACCAATCCACGCCGGGAAATCACCGGAGAGCGAATTCTTCGATAAATCGAAGTGATTTAGAGATCTCAGCTTCTGAAATGTTCTTGGAAGTTCACCAGAGAAAAGATTGAAACTTAGATCAACTCTGTTTAAATGAGGACAGAGTCCAATATCTGAAGGCAATGATCCAGAGAACTGATTCCTCTGTAATTGTAACTCTTTCAAGTTATGCAAAGAGAGTATCCCCAAAGGTATTGAACCAGAAAGTGAATTAAACGATAGATCTAAAGCTCTTAACCTCTCAAGTCTCCAGAATCCTGAGACGAAACTACCCGAAAAACGGTTTCTTGAGAGATTAAGACTGTTCAAAACAGAGCATTGAAACAGAGTACTTGGGATTTGACCTTCGAGGTGATTATGAGACAGAGAGAGATATCTAAGAGAGGAACAGTTGTTGAAGAAATCATCAGAGAGTGTACCGGAGAAGGAGTTTCCGGTTAAGTCAAGGTGTTGCAAGGAGCTGATTGAACCGAGAGACAACGGGATTCGACCGGAGAGATTGTTGTGGCTAAGATCTAGCTTTTGGAGATTGTTGTTAGTTGAGAGAGCGTTGATGTTTCCGGTGAAGTTGTTGTTGGAAAGTGAGAGTACTTTTAAACGTTGAAGCTTTTGGATTCCGCGGTTGATTTTTCCGGTTAAGGCTAAACCGTCGAGGGAAAGCTCGGTGACTCGAGATGTTTTGGGGTTGCATTTGACGTAACTCCATGAACAAGGAGTGTTGTCGTCTTCGTTCCATGACTCAAGGTGTGAAAATGGGTCGTTGAGGTCTGATTTGAAGACGATGAGTCCTAAAACGTCGTCGTTTAGCTGGATTGAGTCGATATCGCCGTTGATGAGTGATAACATCGTTGTCAATGTGAGAAACAGAGTAAATGAGATCATGTTTCTTCTCTTATCGTCCATTGTGATACTCTCTCTTGATGGAGCTTAATTTTTGGTATAAGGGAAGAGAGAGAGAGAGAGAAATGAGAGAGTTATGGCATTTTGATGAAAGATAGACAAGAGAGAGAAAAAGAGAATGGAGTTGAGTTTTGTGCCAATGAGAAGAAACTCGAAGTGTTAGTAAGATTCTGAAGTTAGCTACATGACAACAACGACTAGATCGAGTTTACATATGATCACTATGGCTAAATGGACCACATGGTCTTTATCCGGTCTAACCAAAATTGTCCGGTTTAGTAGATTTTCTCTTAATAAACATGTGTTTACTTGTTAAATACACACTATTAAGTTAATACCATGTTACAAGGTTTTAGGAAAGCATCATCATTTCGAGTCGGGTGATCCGACTCGAGTATCCGAAAAAGAATACTTTTACGAAGGCATGTCCATTTCGGATCGGATCACCTACTCCGTACCCAACTTGATTATCCGATTTTTTAGATAAAATAATACTAGAAATTATATGTTTTAAGTCAAAAAAATAAATAATATCGAATCTTAAAGTAAATTATGATTTGTAGACTAAAAAATCAAGACTAAACTTGATGCTTACAAGTTAATAGAATCAATAAAATAGCATGGTCTTATCAAGTGTGTGTATCCAATAAATATAAATCTATAGTCTAGCAAATAATAATATATCATTGGACTACAACCATATCTAGCCCCGACTTGAACGTAATAATAGAGTAAAAAGTTATATCACAAGAAAGGGAAGAGATGAGATAAAAAGATATGGTCAATAGAGAAAGAGACCTATGAGAGTATGAGAATCCAAATAAAATATAAGGATAAATAAAAAGTAAAGAAGAAAAGAACAAAACTAGGGTTTGGTGCCATTAGAATAAGAAAGAGTCTCGTGACTGACAAAGTTATGTGTAAAATCCACCGCACAAATTAGCTTATCTGTCTTTTTGTCCCGACATCTCTCTCTGTCCTCCTCGCCTCTCAATTTTAGATTCAAATTACAAACTTAAATTAGCTCTTTAAGTTGTGAATAGAAAAAGTTGTGAACAAAAAACTAAGTTCTTTAAGATTATAATTCTATTGCTAAAGGAGATTGATATGTTTCTTGGTTAGAGACATTAGTTTTTAAACACCATTGACTATGATTTGTGTTTGTGTTTATTTTGGGTACATGTTGTTTTGATTAGACTTATAAATAAAGAAAAGCTATATAAATTAATCTTTATATATAAGTTTTTGCAGTTAGCATTTTTATCACGATAATTGCAATCAGCATTATAATTTTTTCACAAATTTTGTAATTTCGTTTTTGTTATGGTCTTATGGATAACCAAAATATTTTTGTACTCACAAACTTTTTTGGTTAAACCAAATTATCATGTTAAAAATGATGTATATATTAATATTATGTGTAAATTAACAATAATTTTTTTTGTTACATTCTCATTGGAAACTGCTTTTAACTTTTTGTATTATATTACAAATAAATTATTTGAAATAATTACCTTAATATTCACGACTAACAAGTCTAATTCTTTTAGTTTTTTCATGGTTAACGGCTCCAAATGACTAAAAAGCATACAATTATATTTACACCACAAAGATTTACGATAAATGGTTCTAACGACACCACAAAGATTATCATAATTCTAAACTACATCATATTTAGTGATGAATCGATATGCTTTTAAGAGATAAAATCATGACGAACGGCTTACTTGCACTATGTTCATCTCCGCTAAGTTTACCGGCACTGTTTTGCAACAATTCATATTCAATCGGAATCCAGTCCAAATATGGTGTAGAAATAATAAGCCTTTATCACTAAGAAGTTTCCACAAATACTATAGTTTTTGATAATATCTTTTTAAAATATAATAGTCACTCTACCAAAATATGAATGTGAATTGGTAATATATTTAGAAAATTAATTCAACAGCTTTTACCAATAAGACTTTAAAGTTTAAACGTTGTAGGTATGTCCCACTAAAACTGTATACCTCTTGAAACCCATAGTTTTTGTTTGTTCATATTTGAGTCTTTTTCCAACACAATTATTTTAAATATTTAGATACTGTAAGATATTTTACACAGCAATAGAAAAAAAAACAAACCTAGATTTACAACAATTACCCTCAGTTGCATCTCTAAACCAATCTAAACCTAGTAAGCTGTAAAAGCAAAACTACAAAGAAAATATGTTTCAATGATGTGATGGATAAATATCATTGAAACATAGTGCAATCCAGTCACAAAACTACATACATTAATAAAACGTCAATCCAGTCACATATTACTTTTGTAAAATTTTCCTCATTTTGATATATTTAAGATCATTTCATTCTATTTTGTATTTGTTTTTCACGATTCTATCGTTACACAATAATAGCAACCAGTGCCGATGAGATATGGTCCATATGGAAGATTGAATCTGGTGTCTGATGTTTGGGAACGGAGCATGTTCTCAAATCTTGGTCGTCATTCAATAATTTATAGTTTACCCATTTCAAAATATTCTTTCTGCCAAAGATAATCTTGTAACAAACGGAACTCAATCAATTTCTTCAAAATCATATAATGTGAATTGAAATGAAGGGTTCAATCATGTAACACTAAGAAATGTGAATAGATGTAGAGGATTTAACCCTAAACTTATGAATATTTGGTTGTTACTTGTTAGTGCTTCTTCACATTTCTTCACATTACTTGTTTGATTCGTACTTTTGTTTTTTTTTTTCGAAATTTTGAAAAATATCATTTTCGGAAACCATTCTCAAAACTACAACTAAGAGAAAGGTTTTTCAAAATAGAGTTTTTTATAACATGCATTATAAAGATTTATAAAACCTCTTGTTATCTCATAAGCTAATATTTTGTATAAATAAAATTCTTACAACTACTTTATAAATTTTATATAACTATCTTACAAAGCGTATAAATCGTGATATTTTTTAAAATTGATAGAAAATAGTGGTATTTTTTTAGAAAACACCCGACCTTTTTTTTGTCATGTGTTCGTATTAAATCCTCAGTAAAAATAATACAGTAGTTAGCTTATAAATCTTCATAGTTTCTTTTTATATTTCATTTTACTCCCTGTTTTATTTTTTTCGATGTATAACTATTATAGTTTACAAGATATTTATTAGAAAATGTGCAACTTGCAATATATATTGAAATTTATTTGCATACATCACTATCAACAAAATAAATTCATATAATCTATTTTTTTTTTTTCATTTCATAATTTTTTATTTCTTTAAGATGCTTTCACAAATTGAAAGAAATACGAGAATGACCAAAAATATCAATTTAATTCACTACACCAGTATAATTAATAATTATTGTTGGGATGAATTTCCGAGAATCGTAGGACAGTTGATTTGGGGTGAGGGGTATTTTTTTTTTGTCGAATAATATCGTTAATGTCTTTGATGACCACGGGTAGGCAGGCAACTTAACCTATGGGAAGTAAATTTAAAGTTACTTTGGGTTTAACCTTCAATTTTAGGGAGTAATGAAATAAAATTAACCAATAAACTGAATCCTTAACCAATATTTATCTGCTATAAACTAGTATGTGTGTGATAACTGACTGACTTTTGATCGATCGGATATCCAGAATTTTGACAAAAAGAGATAGAATAACTAAGTAAAGGGGTCAAATTCTCAAGAGCTCTTAATTGTCAAATTCTCAAGAGCTCTTAATTGTCAAAAACCAATCTTTGATATCCTCAAATAATCTACATACTCCTCTACTTTTAATGAAAATACACAAACCCTATTGTGCCCTTATAAAATCAGTTTTTAATAAGAAAAAAGAAAAAAAAACATTCGACAAATCAGTAATCATTATTTCGACTAATTAAAAGTGAGTTCTCCGACCAATCAAAACATTCCACGTCATACGTGAATCCATCATCTACCATCGAACAACTTAGTATAATTAATACAACTGGTATTACACAAGACAAATAGTACAACTGATATAAGGCCATACACAGAGGCACAACTTTTGTTCGGGTGTTATGATTAAAAAAAACAAAAATAATCGAATAGTGATGAAAGAGAAAGAAGATGGGTATAGACTTACAATCGGGTGTAAGTGCCACATGTCTCACTCTCCTTTCTATTCTCTCTATCTCTCTCTATCTCTTTATCTCTCTCCCTCTTCTCTTTTTTTTTTATTATAACATTAAAAATATTCTAACATATATACTCAAGTTTATCCCACTGTGCATGCTCTAACTACTACAAGTTAATAGGTGCTAATATAGATTTTTGTTCATGAGACAATGAGTACCATAAACATATTTAATACTCTTCATTTTGTTCAACAAAGTAAAATTGATAATCGTAATGGTACAACTACAATCAGTCCCTTTTAAGGAAAACTAACAAATCTTCATTTGCAACTAATAAATCGAATTATTCTTTTTTTGTTATACAAAAATATATTAGTTATACAAAATTATATTTGTCTTCATCATATTCTTGTGTTATCATAAAATACATTATAATTTTATGATGAAATTATTAATGTTAACTACGTTACATTACAAAAGACACAAAAATATTGTTTTAACACATATAATGCATAAAAACATGGCGAATTCACCTCAATTACTTAAAATCATGTGTACAACCAAAAATATTTAGTTTAAAGCAAAGTATATGCTGATGTCAAATCTTGATGTTAAATCTTGATGACATGATGTCACCTCAATTTAACATTTTTTTATGACATCTTGATTTAAAATTTCCAAGAAGGTGTATAGGTATAGATCTTTTTTTGATAACCCAGTATCCAGACCACACAGTGATCTGACTAGCCCACTGGGTCTAAGCCCGCGTCACAGGGATTTTTAAGCCTCCACTTAAGGGCCCCCTGATAAACTGGTGGTCTGGGGCGCCTGAGCAAGTCCGCAGGTAAATTCCCAGGTGGCCACAGGAGTGAGAGAGCGAAACTGCGTCTGGGGAGGATCGATCCCTGGCCTAGACCAACAGGGCGATCCTTCCAACCAAACGAGAACCACTCGCCCACCACCATGTGGTTAAAGAAAGTATAGGTATAGATCTTAAATTGCTTGTTATACATGCTTGGGACTGAAGAACATATTGAAAAGTTGTAATGCTTCGGTTTCTTTCTCGAAATCTTGGATTTGCTCCACGTATTGCAATCTAGATCCAGTTGTACCAAGTGTTACAAAGTTGTACCTTTTGGTTTCAAGAATTTTTAAGTTACAAAACCAAACTAGCTAGTTATACCAAGTCTTACTTAGTTGTGCAGAGTTTAGAGACATGTCAATTTTTTCATAATCAACTGCACATATCGATTTTAAAAAAAAAAGATGATAAGGAAACGGAAAAAAAAAAAAAAAGATATTGAATTTTAAATCGATTTAAATAAATAAAAATGGGTGCATCCGGATTTGATCCAAATTAGAATTGGTTTATGTAGAAAATTCGTCACTCAAAATATGTTGAGAAATTCTGTAGAAAAGGCAAATGGAAAAGTAGAGAAGGAAAAAAATGTATTTTCTCGAGAAACAAAGGGTTTGGTAAAAGGAGACCGTCGTCAATGGATCATAAACCTGTTTGCTTCTCATTCTTTTTTGACGTTTAGTTACCTTTATCGTTTGCCACAAAACCACTTAAGATTATAACTTCAAGATTCTATTATATTCACATCCTAATCATTTGTTAATTATGTCAAATCAGTTCACATAAAAAATTACTTTACCATTTACTGTTATATAAAACTAAACAAAGTTTTTCAGTTTTTTCTCTTTTTTCTCTTCAAGAAAGGCATAGCACTTAATCCTCCAGTTGAAGAATTTCCAAAATCAATCTCAACATTCTCATCCAATGATGCATCTTCATTTTGACGTTTACCTTTCTTTCGTCGTTCTTCACTCTCCATCTTTAGACTCTCTGCATCATCCGTTGTGTTTTCCTTAGCTATTTCATCTTCATCAACACAGAATCCGCCACCGATCACTCTGTAATCATCGGTAGCTTTATCTTTCATATGAGCATCTCCAATCTCAACAGCTTCATCTGCACAGAACCCACCTCCCGTTTGAATATAATCTTCAGATGGACAATCGTTGATTGATGCTTCTTTCTGTGTTCTTTCTGCAGAAACATTTCCTATTCTGCCTTCATCAACCTCTTCGAAATTCTCACTAAGGGATTCTCCATTGCTTCTTGACTCATCCAATTCATCGTCTTCTTTTGCATTGTACTTCACAGGATTCCGAGATCGTGTTGACTGGGGAATGACAGATAACAAAGTGAACCCACTACATAATGAATTAAAAGAAGTAATATCGGTTCCATTATAAGAAAGCGAAATTAAGGCTTACCTTTCGCACTTTCTGAAGATTGCCCGGTTTTGCCTCTAAATCTACTACCTTGTCATCATCATCAGAAGTGTCGTCTGATAGCTCAAGGAGATCCTTTTGGACTCTTCCTCTTCCTCTTCCTCGTCCTCTTTTCTGGGCTCCGCCTCTGCCTCTACTACTAGATGGTTTTTCTAAGCGCTTCCTTTTGTTTTTCACTTTCTCATTGGCTTTAGGTGAATCTTTGTCAGAAGTGGTGTTATCTTCAGTTTCATGAGGAGCAACTCTTTTCTTATTTTGTTTTCTTGGACCTTCCTGGAGAGTACTATCAGCCACTTCTGACGATAGACCTCCGCCAATTCCTTTGACAGCTTTGTTGATTCTTTTACTACGGATCTTTGCAAATCTTTCATTAAAGGAATAAAAAGCTTCCATCCGAAGTTGCGTCTTCATGGAAAGAAAAAAAAAGTCAAATTGTCAGATTCTGTTCATATTATTAATCATATGCGTATCGAAGATAAGAGATCAGATGTAGATGAAGACCTCGCGCTTTTCATACTCCTTCAAGACTGGTAGTAGCAGATCATCTGTTTTCTTGCCGTTCCAATTAAACTTTTCCCAGCATAGCCTTCACAAAAAAAGTGATACTACAGAATCAGAACTCAGGACATTGTTTCACATATTGGAAGTAATTTATTACAGAAACAGAGTCCATCGGCCAAATCATGATATATTTTTTCTATACTTCAGATTCATTGAAACCTTTATCACGCCCTAAATGGTTCCACAAAAAGAAGTCAAGCTATGCCATATTGTTTGAAGGAAACTGGTATTAGTTCCTAAACCTGGTAGTTGGTACTAAGAAAGGATGATCATATACGTACCCAATATAGATGACATGTTATTGTTAAGTAAAGAAACGACTTACTTTCTAAGAACAGAAAGATCAGGCTTGCCCCATGAGAATTTCTCAGTCGACCGATCCACTTGTGGATTTAAGTAGGCTGAAATAACAGCCTCACTAGGGAACGTCAATGGAATATGCCAGTTCTTGCTTACCTTTCTCTGTAAATTTTAAATGGAATATGTCAATCTTGAACGAGTTGGACCATAATAAATTAGACATTAAAGTTCAGGTAAAAGAGCAATACATGCTGATCCATGAAGATTTGCTTTATTTCTTCGGTGTCATCAGTCGAGGCACCTGAGATGATTCCTTTATTATCTACAGAGGCAGACCCACGCTTCTTTATCTTCGAACCTGTTTTTGCATCAGTCTTTCCTAAAATGGTTGGATCAGGTGATTCAACCCATTCACGAAATTTCTGAAGCCCATCCTCCTCGGGAAATGCAGTGACAACTTCAATAGCATTGACAATACCAATACCACTGCATGTCAAAACAATTATGATATCAATTACATCAAGAACGGGACTTTGACCCTATGCAGTTTAAACCTCTGCTAACCTGATTCCTTCTGTATAATCACTTCCTAGAAGCATTGCCATGCGGATTATTTTATCTCTGCTCAAGCCTAGCTCCTTCTCAATGTCCTGAAAATCAATAGAGGTTAGAAATGTAATCACCAGACATTTGAAGAACTGAATGCATGCGAATAAAAATGTAACTTCAAACAGATCGATAAAGACAAATATATCAACTTACTACCGAAACGATGTATCAACTTATTCCTGATAAAGGCAAATGTATCAACCTACTACCGAAAAAGTAACAATCCAGAAGAAACTACAAAGTACTAAGAAGTTATAACAGAAAACAAGCCGGAGATAGTATGGAAGCTTATGTGAAATTGAAGAAGAAAATAAACTCATCTCAGCCAAAATAAAAAGAAATGATTTCTTAAATCCACATGTAGGAAACCAGAGTTTACGGACGGAAATGCACACCTTCATAAAGTATGTCTCCACATATTTGCGATCATCAAATATATTTTTGTACACGCTCCTTGCTCCAAACAAGAATACATCAGAATCGTCAGTGACAATGCCATCAACAAGGTTTGATTGTTCCATAAACGCACATTGTGCCTCTGCTTCCATGGGAGCTATGATGTACGGTATGCCAAAAATTTGGAGTAGCTCCTACGGAAAACCAAAATCGACAAAGCATGATAAGTTTGTTGTAAAATCAAACAGAACAGAAACTCTGAAAACTTTTCAAGAGGGCTGTATAAAGAGGACAATGACTCATATGTATTAAAAGACAACGGGCAAACCTGACATTCTGCAAACATCTCACTGCTCACAGATTCAGCATTCCGCTCAAGTTTTCTCTGTTCATCACCTAAACTTACGAATTCTTGGTCGAGAACTCGAATTTCCTCCTCTATATTTGCTTCTGAAAATTCAACAGGCACGCTTTTCTCTTCAAAATCTGTTGAACTGTCAATATTGAAAGTGTGCTTGTTAGAGTTATTTTCCTCCCTTCTTTCATTTTGTGAATCTGTGTCATGTAGTATCCCTATTTGCGATCTGACGACATCACGAGAAGGGTCCCTTGATTCAGTGACAAGACTCTGGATTTTACGTCTACTATAATCACTCTTATCATCCATCATGATAGATGATTCACCATCAGCATTACCTTTTTCACCAAGAAAACCAGTTCTTTCCTCATCAGCTATGGGCATAGCAGATACTTTGACAGATTCTCCACCAAAACTTTCAGAACCTTCTTCATTGTGCTGTGTAGCCATGGTGGATAGCATGCGGCTTTGACTAGCAACATTTGATGCTTTCTCCGGTGAGATAACTGATTTTACCTTTGACAATTCATTGCTCACAGCACAGCTAACGTTATTAGAACCAGAAGAAGGGTGTGTACCAAATTGTTTGGTTATCCCTTTCTGACCATCTGCATTGCCCGCTACAGAAGTGTTGGACTGTTCAGTTATAGCACCACTGGTTTTCAAGATTGTTATTTCGTCCAGAAATCCCTCTTCCTCAGCTTTACCAACGGTTTCCCTAGAACAAAGACTATCTTCGCTTGGCTTGTCAACAACAAGATTTACCCTTACTGATTGATTTTCTTCAAGGACATCCCCGGATTCCTTATCGTGTAAATCAAGAAGACTTTTCTTGATAGCCTCCTGCAGATCAGCTTCTTCTTCCAGATAGCCTTTTGTGATCTTTGTTACTGTATCATTCTCCATGGAGCTATTGGCATTTTCACAACTATATTCTTCCCATGCTACACCCTCATCGATACTAATATCCTTGGGGATATGCTGATTGCTTAAATTAGCTTCAAGCTTAGAGACAGAAGTATTCTGTTCAACAGGCACTTCTTCCCAATCACTGTCAGAAGCCCACGGTGAAGAGTCTTCTTTAGGATCATTTTCTGTAGAACTGATTGTCACTGGTCCTCCCGCTGCCAATTGAAGAAACATATCATCTTCATCATTGAGATCTTTTCCACCACCATCATGGTCAAATGATATCTCTATTGAAGATGGATTTTGCAGCATGGAATCATCATTCTGGATCTCCAGGTTCACAACATCTTCCTCAACAGGTGATTTTTCAAGAAATTGGTCCTCAGTAGGAAAGTTCTCCCAGGCGCTGAATGTTTCATCATTGTTAGCCATAGAACCAGAAGCTGTTCTCTCCTTTTCTTTCATCAAATGTAAGTTCCTCTGGATATCACGTGTCATTTGGATTCCCATGTGTCTGTTCCTTATTCTAAAACGTCCCCTTTCATCTATATATACTTCAATATTTTCATCAGGATTTTTAGGTTCATCTCTATCCAACTCAATGGTAGCATCTGATTTTTTCACCGAGGAAGCATTCTTGACGGGGACTGGCAAAGACTGTTGTGACGTTTTCTTTTGATTTTCATCATTTCTTCCTTCTCTGGCAGACGCCAGTTCTCTAGAACAAATTAAAAAATATCAGTTATTTTCACTTATGAAATAACCTTATTCTTTAATAAGACTTCAAACTGAAACTCACTCTTTATCACCAGCAAAAGAAGACGAGAATATAAATTCTCTGTTTGCTTCCGAAGCTATCCTAGAAGTTTGAACTCCACCAACAGCCCTTCCACCAGCAGATCTCTGAACTTCATTTATTTCCCGACGGAAAGCTACAGTTTTAAGATATGCTTCTATTTGCAATTCAGAAAACTTCTCAGGGGCCTATACATGATTACTTCCATAGTCAGTGTTTCGCGTCTCCTCATACATAAAGATTCAAATTCATAAATGGAGCTAGAATGAGCCAGTGATTTATGTAACTCACCTTCTTGACCTTTTGGTACTTTTGCCGGTTTTCTGCCATCAATTTTTCTCTCATCTACAAGTAAAGACATTATTAAATAATCTGAAACGTCCATGAAATTTAACATGCTGCAAAGATATGGTGTAAATATAGTTAATTACCTGAACAAGGAGATCAAGTTGCATGGATGGAGGGAGAGAAGCCAAAACAGCTGGGTCAATATTCCCATCCATTACTGGCTAGAAAGGTAGACAAAATATTATTAGAAGATGATGATCGTAAAGTATCAGATAACTCATTAATAAAGACGTGAAAACAACATATAATTCCAAATACATTATCATGATTCTTTACTAAGCAAATGAGGATTTCATCCAGAATAAGCGATCTTCCCTTTTCAGAAAAAGGACCAGACAAGTTGACAAGTGGTGTTGATTGCTTAACTAAAGAATTTTCAACTTAACCAATTTATATCCCATGAATCTTAGTGATCTGTAACTTAAGTAACAGTAAATAAAACAAGAGAAAGATGTAGTACGAAGACCACAGATTACCAATAAAATTTCCTCATCTTCGTCACTGTCCTCTTCCTCATCCTCTTCCTCAGACGGGATTGCTGCAGCTGAAGTTGATGCTTTGCTAGTAAAGTTTCCTTCTTCTTCAGCTGCAAGGGATGCCGCCAACCTATATTACACCAAGACAGGAAAACACGAAATTACATGCAAATAAACATCTTCAATCAATATCTCAATTACTCTGCTTACATCTCATCCAACTTTTCCTGATAATCCTTCCCCTGTACTGAGGAATCCTGTTCAAGATTACTCTTCATTTTGTTATCTAGGTCATCCCCATCCAACAAAACTCCCTTTCCCTTGGGATCATCCTTCTGCGAATCAGCAATAAACAAATCATAGACATTATATAAATCTCAACAACAAAATCACTTACAAATTACTGAACAAAGAGTGACAGTACAAGAATTGACATATTAAGGATTGATCATAAAAATACCATGACTAAGGAAGGGCATGTGAAAGCAAATAAATAACATAAACTGGTAAGACATCACAACAACAAATCGTCTGATTCATTACCGCAAGATACATGACTTATGGCATAAAAAGGAACAAAAAGAATACCAACTATGACATGATGAACAATTAGCATCAAGTTAGTGTCTCTGTGCCCAAAAATCCTAACTAATAAACAAAACAAAAAGGAAAGAAGTGGATACTTAAGACCACGAATCACTTAAGGCAGTCCAACAACACCATCTAATGTTTTACTTAAGAACACGAATCACTTACCGTGAGCTCTTTGACGACATCATCAACACCATTCTCCTCTCCCACCAAAGATGCTGGAGATCTACATCAACAAAGTTCATTAAAGCAAATTCCACCAACAAAACTGAAATTCACTGTTAAAAAACAACAAAACTTTATTAGCTTACACTTCATCTAGCTTATCCTCCTCAGGAACTCGCAAATTATCTTCCACAGAATCAGAACACACACGTTTCTTCACTCTATCACTATCATCCTGCTTCAATCTTTGATTCTTAATATCTTTAGCTTGTTCCTTAAGCCTAATATCCTTAAGCTACAACAAAAAATCCCAAAACCAACTCAAAACTTGCTAATTTTAAGCAACCACACCAATTGGAACCAGTTAACACAGGAAGCAAACCCGATTAAGCAGCAATTTCTCAGCAGTCTTCCGGATTTTAGTCTGAGCATTCTCACGTTGACGACGACGAGCAATAACAGTACGACGTTTCAATGCCGGAGTAGCTCCATCAAAGACGAAGATCGGTTTAGTCCTTAAGAACAAAAGCTTACAAATCCTTCGGAAAAATCCGATCAAGTGTGCGTTCTGAACCATATCTCCCTTCTCATCACGCATCGCTTTGATAAATTGTACCATCCATATACTCGCATCTGCAAATTCAAACGATGAAGAAGAAGCCGGAAAAAAAAAATACAAAACAATTGAAGTTGATTGCCGGAGATTTGTTTACCGATGGCTAATCGTTTGTTGGCTAGGGTTTCGACGGAGACGCGACGACCTACAGGAGCAAGAAGCTCCCAAAGACCTTGCACTCCCATTTTTTTTTTCTCAGTTTCTTAATTTCTTGAGAACAGAAAGACTTGGCCGTGAAATTAAAAGCCCTTTATATATTGACGATCGACGGCGGTGTGAAATTATACGGCGTCGTTTTTTCTCGCTCTCAGGCGTAAATTTAAACCCGACGGTTATATGTACAAAGAGTCAACGCCCGGTTTATGAACTAACTAGACCGTCTCAATGTTGGCCCATTCCAAAGTATTTTTCTTAAGAAAGGCCCAAAATCTGGCCTTGTTTCTTTTTTAAAAAATGTTTTTTTTTTGTCAAACATTTTTCAAGAGACAATTAGCTATACCAATTTTTTTTTTGAAAACTAAAAAACAAGAGAAGAGAGGATATTTGTGTATTAGCAGGAAAAAATGAGAGGGAAACTGGCCCAACATAAAATTTTGGATGAAAATGCCCTACAAAATATATCTCTCTTTCACGACCATAATCGCGAATCGATCCGAAGAAAATTATGTCTGCTGCGATAGAAACGTGTCGAGATTTGAGTCTAAGCTTCGCTGGTAAGCAATACATTCGTAAACTCCGACGACACCACCTGTTCCGAGCAACTCAAATCCGTCGTATGCAGCTTCAGCACCGAATCCGACGTCTGAAAATACACAAACTCGCTGGCCGTCGCCGTTTGTTGCGGCGGCAGCGGATGCATAACCATTTTTGTCACTTTCGGCTTCTCCTCCATGATTTCGTCGGTGACACACCCATTAACAACCGGAGGCGGTGGTCCTCACCTCTCGGTAGTTCCTTTTTGTTGTAAATCCGGCAAAGAACCCAATCATCCACCTAGGCAAAGATATGTGTTAGATAGCGTTGGTTTAATTCTCCGTCATGTTGCTGTCAAGCCAAACATCTTCACCGCTCGATATAGGTTGAATACATACCTTTTCATCAGTTTGGTAATATATATCCGTTTTAAAAATTTTGAATCATAATATATGCAGAAAAAATAATTGAGATTTTTTAATTTTATGTATTATATGATGATTCAAAATAGTTAAAAGAAAGTTTAAACAAAGATGATAGGAGAATCGTAATTTTAAATCTTAACCAAATTTTCTAAATATCTTTATTTTTAAAAATGGAATATCCGGTTCACAATTTTGGATATGTTTTGACCCGATCCAAAGGAAAATATGGAATATCTGGTGTAAGATTTTGAAGTAAATTTTGTATCGGATCAGGTACCAAAAATTTCGGATAATTTTTAACCCAACCGGTACAAAATGTACTTCAAATCTATACTAGTATTTTTGCAACATTTTGGTGACGGGTGGGTAAAAAAGCTCTCGGGTTATTTGGATACCCGACCCGTTTCTAAATTTTGGTCATAAAATTTTTTTTGGGTCGGGTTATATTTAACCCAACTCATACAACGGATATTCCATATTTAATAATTTAGATATTTAGAAGATTTGATTAAGATTTAGAATTATGATTCTCCTATCATCTTTGTTTGATTTGTTTTTAACTATTTTGAATCATCATATAATACATAAAGGTTAAAAAAAAAATCAATTTTTTTTCTGCATATACTGTTATTCGAAATTTTAAAAACGGACATATATTATCCAATTGACGAAAATGTGTATTCATCGTTCCACATCGATTAAAATATTTAGACAATGATTCAAAATCATATCATAAATAAGATCAACATTAATAAAATAAATGAGTTTTTTGGCCGGACGGGTTTGGCGGGACGGGTTTTTGAATCAACAATAATAAAAAAGATTAAACTATCATTAATCCGCCGCTTCAATACGGAGTAAATCATTAATTTTTTTTTAATACCACCAATATTAGACATATCAAATCAGTCTCATTTAGAAAAGATTGTATAAAATCAAAAATTGTCCCGTGGTATAATGTTACTTAATAAAAATTGTAAACTATAAAATATAAATGTCTTTGAAAATGATACAATTTACAAACTTTATCTATAATAAATAATCGTTAAATTTTTTAAAATTACTACTTTTAAAAAACAAATTACGGGACGGGTTAATAAATTACAAGACGGGTTATATGGTGGACGAGTTTGAATCAACATTTATAAAATTTTAAAATATCATTAACATGTCGCTTTAATACAGATTCAATCCTTAGTTTATTAAAATATATATAAATATCTTAGAGAATGATACAATTTATAAACTTTATATATAATAAAAAATTATTAAATTTTAAAATCACTACTTTTAGAAAACAAATCACGGGACGGGTTAAAAAATTATGGGACGGGTTATATTTTGGAACGGATTTATATGGCGAACGGGTTTGAATCAATATTTATAAAATTTTAAAATATCATTAACATGCCGCTTTAATACGAGTTAAATCCTCAGTTTATTATTGTTCCGTGAACTCGTGATATACCGTTACTTGATAATAATTATAAACTATAAAACATAAATATTTTATAAGGAGATATAATTTATAAAATTTTATATATACTAACTTTAAAAAATAAATCATCCCGCGGTGTACCGCGGGTTAAAATCTAGTATATAGTATAGATGTCTCACGACTTCAGATGATTCATATGCTTTCCATTTTTACTTATTCCATATCTTCTAAATTTAATATTTCTTCTCTAGTTTATATATTTTCAATTCTCACGCAAGTCCATCTCTCATTTTTTTCAACATTCGAAATGAAATTATAATCAAAGTGAAACTAATTATAATTGAAATCTAAACAATTTCACATCAAAAGTATATAAATTTAATCCAAACTATATTTTTTAAGTAAGATTTATTTAGTTTTGCACTATAAAATTAAAAATCTAGTAAGTTTTATATTTTATTTTTCAAAAAAATTATACGTAAAAAATATACATTAAAATTGTTTTTAAGAGAATGCCATATGTTTAGTGATTTGCTTTAGGCCTGCCAAACATTAGGACCGGCCCTGGAGTTACATGACGAGAAATTCATGGAGATGAAAAGACAATCTCCATCCCTTGAAATAGGTCTCGTAAGCACATCAATAGCCCTCTCCAAAGGATTTTAGTGATTCGTCCTTTGAAGAAACAACAAGTTCAACATCTAAGGAAATTTTACACGCAATGTGAAGGGTATCGAGAGCTTGTTGATCTGAAAGTGACTTTAGGCGAGATACTTGCATCATTAGTTAATCATATGGTTCGATTTTGGTATGTTTGTTAGAGTAATTAGTTGGCTATAAAATTTGATAGTCTTAATTTTGTATTTACGTGGTTCATGGTGATTATTTTACTTCAAATTCTAGAGCAGTTATTGGGTTTCTTTAATTGCTTTAGGAAACAATATTTTACCTCGGAAAATATGTAATATCTTTATTTATAGTTACAAAATTTATTAGTCACGGAAAATTTATAATAATAAATGATAATATTGAGTTAATATATTTTAACCAATTCAAGCTTTTTCAAAAAATGAAAATATAAAAATATACAAATAGAATTTAGTCTTTTAAAGATGATATTTCGATATTATGTTACGTTTTTTTCGGAAATGATATACAACATTTTTCTATTTAAATAGATCAAATTTAAAATAAATTATTTACAATATTTTGGTATTTTTTGAACGTAAAAGTGAAATTCATTTAACATAGTAAAATTAATATATAACCTACTTAAAATGCATATTTAATACCATATTTATTCTTTCGTTGCAATAAATAAATACAAAACAGTAATAGTATTTTCTAAAATATAAACTGAAAGAAGTCCTATAAGGAATATACTGTTGAAATTTGCAATTGTTTTACCTTTTAAACACTATTTTATTAATCATCTTATAATTACGTAGATTTTTACTAGAATGTGAAAAGAACAAAACCACATGAGGCAAGCGATATGCCATGGCTGTAAGTCTGTAACCGACACATTTGAAAGAAATAATGAAAGTGGGAAGGCCACTTAGGTCTAGAAAGAGGTGGGATCATATATTTGGTGCTTTGTACAATCTATGTACATATTTACATTGTGTGTAAGTAAACAAAGGATTTCCTTAAAATGGGCAGAGCAAATCTGATTTTTAGTTGTAATAGAACACAAGACAAAACAAATTATATTTGAAAACAAGTAGGAATACAAAAGTCAAAACATGAATGGTTTTATAAGATTATACCACACGACACTGAAACACATGTAGACCATCTAAATCCAGATCAATATCATCAAAAACAAACTCCAAGTACTATGAAAATTAAACATATTAGTATAAGTTATCAACCAAAATGCAAGGTTCATAATCATAATTATTTTCACCTGATTAAGTTGAGTCCAAACATGTTCACAAGCTACCATTATTCCGTAGGAAACACTCATTGGAGCTAGTTGGGTAGTGAAGTGGAAGCAAATACTACAAACAATAAAAGAAAAATTTGCAAAAAAAAAAAGACATTGAGATATTTATCTAGTACCTCTCCACAATATCGTCTTTTACATTGAGAACAAGATACATCAAAACGACTCACAACATCTCCAAGAAAATCACTGCTATAACATTGAGGGCATACCACTGAATCATCCATTGAGAATATGTGAAAAAAATCGAAAGATGAACGCAGGCGGCTCGAATCCGAATGTTGACCCTTGTAGTTTGTACGTATAAAAAAAATATGAAATCCGAAAAAGAAATAAGAAAATTTAAAACAAGTCTCAGAAATTTGGAGCAAATTTAAACAATTTGCCATCACCAAGAGATAAATCAAAAACTAGTCAACTTTGAAAGAGACCAATAATTCAAAACACCAAAGCGGAGAAAAAATAATAATATATGAAATCCGATATGGAAATCTTAGAAACATGAGCAAGTTTAAGAGATAAGATAATCAAAGTAATGAACTAATGATAGGTAAATCTACTCTGTTTTTTTTAGATTGTTTTTAATTGACCTATATACAGCTATCATATAAATGCTATGTATTTATTTTAATTTTGTATTTCAAATAAACAATGTTGTTTGTTTTATTTAAGATACAAAATTAATTCTTTTTATTTAATAAAACAAAAAACATCGTTTTGTTGAAATACAAAAATATATATATATATATATATATATATATAATCCCATACAAGAGTCGTATATTCAGCCGGATTAACTCAAACCATAATTATTAAACGTATAATTTAAAAACGGTGTAGTGGATTACCGTACACCGTATATACAGCCGGCTAGAGCTTATTTTAGAAGATTTCAAAATTTTCGTTGCCTTACAATATGTTCTTCCTCGAAAAAAAAATTGACAGTGAAAAAAACTCCCTCCGTTTTTATAATTGATATTTTAAGTTTTTGCAAATGAATCATTTATATTTTATTTTATTTCTAAACTAAAATATCATTTATTATTTACCTAAATACGATTCAACCAATGATAAAATAATTTGCATACTATAAATCGTCAAAATCAATAAAATACTAATAATTTTATACTGGAAGTTGAAAATATCATATCTATTTTGAAAAACAAATATATATTTTTTCAATTTTACTGTCAAAAAATTTCTCTTAAAACATCAAATAAAAAAAATGGAGGGAGTATGGTTAGAGTTTCATTGCATGTTCTAAGAGGATTAAGAGAAGCTATGTTTTGGGAAAGTTATGACTATTCATATTGATGCTGGTGTAATTAATTGGAACTTGAAAGGTCAATTGATGGAAGAAGGCTTGGTAGATTGAAATCATGTGTTTATGGTCAACGTACGTATTCTATTAATAACAAAAACTTGGGAAAATATGCATGCAAAATAATATTCTTCACACTACTTTAAACGTTGAACACACATTCCAAGCAACGTATTCTAGATTTACGAAGTTTTTTTTTTCTCGATAAAACTTAAGATTTACCAAGTTGCATAATTTAATTTTCTAGTAAATTTATACATATATATTACAAAGATTTGTCTATTGGTTAGCCAATCAAATTAAACTTCAACTCCTTCATTAATTCCTAAGTCTTATCTTCCCTATGAAGTTTCGTCTCTCTTTAAATTCCTCACTCACTCTCTCTTTTGTTCAACTTTCACAAAGAGAAACAAAAGAAGGAAGTAGAAAAAATGGCGGAATCGGCAAAGCAACACATCGATCGAATCCGGAAGACTAAGTTCTCAATCGGCGGAGCTTATAATCCTTTGACGGAGGATCTTCATCAAGCATTATACTCTACTCCAAGGATGTTCACTTCCTCATGGAACTTATCCAAGTAAGTATACTCTCTATATTTTTTGGTTAGATATGTTTGCATGTGAATATATACGTGTAGTTGAGTTTGTGATGTTCTTTATGCAAGTCTAATTTTCGATACTATATCCTCTATAGTCAGTAGATATCAAAAACAAGGCATTAACCTGATCTTAATTCTGGAAAATGTTGAACCAGAACTGGAACCAAACCGAACCAAATCATTTTTGTTATGCTTGGTTTCATGTACTCAAGCGTTTTCATATGTGTTTCCAGTCATAGTCATGTTTGCTCTTAGCACACAAAAATGGGTTAGACGACTTAGATTGGTACAGAAAACATGTTTCATGGTTTTTGCTAAACATAATATGTTTACTAATTATATATTACATAGATTAACATATTAGTAAGAAAACCTTTTTGTTCAAGAAATTATTTGTTAATGGTAGGTATTAATTTTTCCTTTATTTTTCAGAATGCTGAGGATAACGAGTATCTGGAAGGTGTGGATCCTTCTCTTGAATTCATACTTACATATGAGGACATCACAGCCACTGGAGCTACAGCCACGCTTCTTATCTTCAACAATGAGACAGGTTTCTCTGAGAAGAACATTGAGTCAATTTGTAGTGTTGTAAGATCCACCAAGAACGGCATTCGAAAACGTGGTTTTATTGGAGAGAAAGGTATGTCTTTGCCTTCTACCATATGTCCTTACTGACTTTTATTCTTACATGTTTGTTCTATTTCAATCTTGGCAGGTATTGGTTTCAAGAGTGTGTTTTTGATCACCTCACAGCCATATATTTTCAGCAATGGCTATCAAATTTGCTTCAATGAGGCACCTTGCAGCCGCAATAGCAACCTTGGCTACATTGTTCCTGAGTGGGTTGAGCAACATCCTTCTCTAGTCGATATTCAAAGAATATATGGTTTTGGTTCTGCTCTTCCGACCACAACAATTATCTTGCCTTTGAAAAGTGACAAAGTAAAGCCGGTGAAAGAACAGCTTTCCAATGTTCATCCTGAGGTTCTGCTGTTTGCCTGTTTCTTTCAAAGATCAAGCGCCTCTCTATCAGAGAACACTACCAAGATAAGCTCCGCACTGTGAACTCAATCGGGATTGTTAGCGAGACTAATTTTGTGTCAAGGACAGAGCCGTCGATGACTACAAGCGAGCAAAGCTAAAGCTTGCGGCCCCTCAAATTATATCTATTTAATCGGCCCCATTTTTTTGAATATCTTCCTTAGTTCTGCTGGTTAATGTGTGATGCTATAGTGATGGAGGTTGCGGGTTCAACTCTCACATATGGGAATATCATTTTTTTTTTTTCATAAATACCTATATTTGGCCAAAATATTTTTTTGCTGCTTGTGGCCACCAATTACACAGCAACGGCTCTGGTCAAGGAAGAGCATTGATGCTGAGTCATACATGATACATCTCTCAGCTTGTGGAAAAACATTCAGTTACTACATGTGGAGGCAAAAGTTTCCGGTGAAAGATGAGAACCGAGTGGGAAGGAGAAGCGAAGTTGAGGAATTCTTCATAACTATGGCGTTTCCATTCGGAGACCGTCTTGCCCTTGGAAATAGCTCTCCTCCTGGTATATATGCGTTGCTTCCCACAGAGATGGTAACTAACTTTCCATTCATATATCATACAAGGAGATTTTATCATGGCATCGTCTAGAGAAACTATACTATTGGATGAGATATGGAACCAAGGGATTCTCAGATGTGTTCCTTCTGCTTTTGTGAATGCATTCACTTACTTGATGAAAAAGAAAGATGCTTTTAGTTTCTTGCCTGTGAAGGAATCTAATTATGAAGAGTTGAATAATGTCCGAGAATCTATCATGGAAAGGGTTTCGGCAGAGGGAAATGGGCCTAGCAGACTTTGAATTCAACCTCTTCAATTTCGTTTGGACTTTTGATCATTAAGTCATCTTTTCTTTGGTTTTTTTTTTTGTTTTTTTTTTTATGAGTGATTTTCTTACCGTTGAACTATTCAATATTTTGTTATATTGGCAATATAACAAAATATTGATTTTTAATGTGATTTTTGGTTATGTTAAATAATCTAGAAGTTTCAAAAAACTTTGCATCATATATAATCTACAAAAAAATATTACATTATCTAGGAAGGAAATCCCAAAAATTGTGTAAAATATTACTCTTACAACTGCAATCCCAAAATTAAAATTCCTCAAAAAATATTTGCATTCAACCTATGACTCCTTTTTTCCTTTTCAATAGGAGCAACGTGTTATCAAATCAAGGATGTTCAAGCGATTGTCTTCCGTACCATGTGTATAACGTATCCCATAATCCTCCTACTTCTCGATAGAGTAGTGTATAGTAGTCAGTTGTGTAATTATCTTTTTATTTCACTAGGTTATGAACCCCCGCGATGTCGCGGGGGAACTCATTTTCAACAAATATATTTGATTGTGTTTATGTATTAAATTGTTATGATAATATATTCAAAAAATTGAATTATTACATAAAATTAACTATGTTTTAAAGTTATATCATAAATATTTTCCAAAGATGTTAAAACAATTTATGAATAAAAATATAAAAAGGAAGAATTATGATTAAAAATACTTTTGAAACATTTTTTATAAATGTAAAATTATTTATAAGTAACAAAATACATAAAGAAGAGTTTTAATATAGAGATAAGATATTCTAACGGTCAAAACCCAAAAATTTGGATGGAGTCGGTACTCAGCCGAGTTGCGATCAAAAAGACACAACCGAGAAAAAAGTAACCGTCAATATTTCAATGAAAAGTTACGAAGAAAAGACACAACCGAAAAAATAACCGTCAACGAAAAAAGTAACCGTAATTATTTTAACGGAAAGTTGCGATAAAAAGACACAAACGTAAAAAGTAACCGTCAATATATTCACGAAAAGTTGCGATAGAAAAATTCACAACCGAAAAAATAACTGTCAACGAAAAAAATAACCGTCAATATTTTAACGAAGAGTTGCGATAAAAAGACACAACCGAGAAAAATAACAGTCAATATTTTAGTGGAGTGTTGCGATAAAAAGATACAATCGAGAAAATACCGTCAATATTTTAACGGAAAGTTGCGATAAAAAGACACAACCGAGAAAATAACCGTTAATATTTTAACAGAAAATTACGATACAACCGAAAAAAATAACCGTCAATATTTTAACGGGAAGTTGCGATAGAAAGACACAACAAAAAAAGTAATCGCCAATATTTTAGCGAAAAATTGCAATAAAAAAACACAACGAAAAATAACCGTCAATATTTTAACGAAGAGTTGCGATAAAAACATAACCGGAAAAATAACCGTCAATATTTTAACGGAAAATTGCGATAAAAAGACGGAACCTTTCAGAAGTGCAAATGACATTTATTGGAAACGACATAACCGTAAAAAATAACCGATTAAAACGAAAATTGCGATAAAAAGACGCAACCAAAATAACCGTACAAAAATAACCGATTTAAACGAAAGGTTGCGATAAAAAGACGCAACCGTTCAGATGTGCAAATGGTATTTATTAGATTGCTATTATATATAGATTAGGAACGAAGACTAAAATGCTTTAAAAATAGTGATAACTAGTCACTAAGTGGATAGTGGTCTAGTAGTTTTAGTGAGTGTTCAGGATCACTAGTTCAACTTTATAATTATAGTTTGGGAGGATTGATTAACGTCTTAAAAGTAATATTATCCGCACTTAGTTCGGATATCAGAAAAGATTATGACCAAAAGTTTGGAACTAATTTTACGGTTTATCAAATAAAATTTCAAAAAACTATCCATTATACATTTTAAACTACCTTTCTACCCAATTTTCGTATAAAAACAATTGGAAAGTATAAATAAATATTATAAAGATTTTGGATATATAACGTGGCGAATTCAACATGTTGAGTTACCGATCCTGAGTGGGACTTTCGTTGTTTCAATAGTATATAGTATCACATGATGCAATAATTCAAACTTTATGTCTATTTTTTTGTAAGAGAGATACCGAAAAGCTTTTGCTTTCTTTATTTAGACAAATTTTTTATATGGACGGTTTGGAATTGTTCCTTGTTAGGATTCAATTCTATCGTGTTTGGTACAAAATTTATAAAGTAACTAGATAACAACCCGCGCATCAATGAAGTGATTCAGATAAAATTATTATGATTAAAATTATTATTCGAGATCCAAGATCCGTTTGTGTATAACGAAACATGTTACAATTTTTTTTTGTTTTATTCAAATTTAAGACTATTTCATATAAGAATATGTTTTACCCGTGAAATATTTGAACCTTGAATAAAGCTTCAACATGATAAAAAAAATATTGACGAAATGTTACCATTTATGGCAATATGTCTTTCCGTATGTTTTAAAGATTTCGAGATTTTGTAGTATAAAAAGAATTTTTTTTTTTTAATAAGTAAAAGAAATCCAAAATTTAGCAAAGATGAGATTTGATAGTTTCCAAACTAAGATTTTGTAGTGTTCCAAATCTAAGATTCTTAGATTATGAATGGATTATTTACGAAATGGTTATAATGTAGTTAGATTTTGGTTTATATACAAATGTGGTTATAATGTTTTTCTTCGAAAAGTTAGAACTCTTCCAAAAAATAGGATTTTAAGTATTCGTAACATATATAGAAAGGAGATTATCTTATTTATTAAAGTAAAAAATTTATGAAATATGTAAAGATTTTGTAGTTTTGAATTCGAGATTCTTGAACCAAATGTATATATTTTATCATTTAAATATAAACATAAATATAAATATAAATATAAATAAAAAAATTGTTTACCCATCCGCTAAAGAAAATTTATATAAATGTATATAAAGAAAAATATAAATATAAAAATATAGTAATTTAAGATAAACAAAAAGTGTATGTTTTTAATTATTAATGGGATATATGGATGTATGAGACTAATGGCAAATTCTGTAAATAGTCTAATAAATCTTGGGTAATTATCTAAATAGAAGCCAAATCATTGTGAGCGCGACAAATCAGCGTGGCAATCTTGTTAATAACACATGATGGTAAGGTTTTTTTTTTAAAATGTTTCTCTATTAATATATAGGGGATATGTTTTTTGAGCCAAAATAATATAATAAAACATTACAATTTCAGTAATGGATAACAACCGATAGTGGATTGATGTTTTCTTTGTTTTGGCCTTTTCATATTACTATTTGAAACTTAAAACGTTCATGTGGATTTGGACCGTTTGGTTTTACTATGATATTAGTTTCATTGTGCCAAAATATTTTGGTTTCACTTTTCATTTTGCCAATAACATGCAAATATACTATCAAATTTAAATCCATATGATGATTAGTTGTTGCGCAAAATAAATTCATCAACTAATCACTATTAAAACTGATTTGAAATATGAGCGTTTATCGCATTAATCGTCTTGTAAATCTCAAAAATCAGTTTGGTTCTACGATTTGCAAGTCATATTAATAAAAGTCAAAATGTAGGTTTAATAGATCTCTTAAAATTTGTAGTTAAGAAAAGTAGCTCTGCTTTATTTTATGTCAACAATAGCTCTTCTCAAAAATCAAAATATGGTAACATTTTAAGAAATAATTATTCGTTATAGGCACGTAGAATGATTATTTCATTGTTGGGAAATGCCTTCTGTGTAAGCCACTTATTGGTTCACATTATGGATTCTTTGGCTATAATAAATTTTTGCCTTCAAAGTTTTTTTTTTTTTTTTAAAGAAAAGCACTTACAATGAAACCCTAATTTGATTACAATGTAGTCTTTGAAATAGGTTAGCTAAAAGTCAAGCTAGATGTAGACATCCTATATATCAATATAATAATACGTCCAAAACATGTAACGATCCTATATGCTTAAGTTAAGAAACATCGATATCAAGACGTACGTGATGAATTCCCTTCTTATTTTGTTATGTAAAACGTATTAAATGGATTAATTGAAATCTATAGTGTATAAATGAAAGTTATCTATATAGTACATTAATAAGCTATCATATCTAATCTAAAGAGAGGTGACTATCTAATGATCTATACAAGAAAAGTTTTCGATTATTATCAATTTTAGCATACTATACATCTACTATAAGAAATTTAGGTCGACACATGTCTTCTTAGATAGATAAGCTTAAATCAATTTTGTTGTTTTAAAATTTTCATATCTTCTATATACATCTTCATTGGTGACGAAATATCAAGATAGTGAATACGATAGATTATATTACTTGGTTACAAACTCATCGAAAATCTTAAAATAAATTAAATCATATTGGTTTTACCTTAGAACATTGTTCAGTAATCATTTTTAGGTTATGGTTATATATACTTTCGAGAATATTGTATATTGTATATTTTCAAAATATAAATTAATCATTTTAAAAAGTGGTTGGATTGACCATTTAATGTGTGTGACATTTTGTCAAGTAATCACCCTAGAGAAGAAAGCTTTATACACGAGAGTTTTCGTTTCCAATTCCATTTCGAGAGTATTTTTACGCCTCGAATAAATTTGTATACTAGAAGACAATTAACGTAGGGTTAAAAAATTCATCACTATATTAATAGATAAGTAAGTACAATAATTATAATTTGCCAAACGAATATTAATGACGTTGTGATGTGATGAAGAGAACATTAATTGTGCATCAAACTAAAGCACATCACTTTGAAGAATAATAATTGCATCTATGCATGCATGAAAAAAATTCGGTAAAATTTTTTTTATATATATACGTTCTCATATCTCTTTAAATATAGGAGTCTAACTCTAGAATTTAACCGACAAAAAATAACTCTAGAATTTAAAATTCTCACTGATCTTAAGAAAACCTAGTTCGATATGTCTGTACTCTTAAAAACTCACTAAAGTTCACATATCAAACCATGATCACATTGATATATCGTGGATTTTACCGTTTTTAATCATGATATAGGTATTGTTTTTTTAGTCTTTTTGTTATTTCTAAAATCTTTTCTAATCTTTTTCAGGTTTATGCACGTTCTGCACTAATTTGGAGATTATAGATCATTCTGCAGGAAAACCAAGAAATTATGCTGCAAGAGCAATCTCGAGACCAAAATACGTGTAGGTGTCGATCGACACCACCCCTGATGTCGGTCGACACCAATATCTGACGGCATAGTGAAAGACTAGCTAGTGAGTAAATAAGTATTTTAATATAACTTTCTTATATCAATCTTGTTTTTGGAAAAACATCCCTTTCACCAAGTAATTTCTCAGCAAAACTAAATTTTTATCATAATAAACAATTGATCTAGTTGTTGGTATACCTTACTCATCACTAAGACAATACTTTTTATATATTTAAATTGATATCATAGATATTATTATTTTTTAATAATTTTTATCGTCTGGTCGGGAAGCATAGATATTGCGATTTTTATCGTCCATAGAATTTATTTCATAAAATATCGGCATCAAAAATTCTAAATGGACATTGTCGCATCGCATGCTTACTTTATTCTATATTAAAGTTACAAAAATCATTTGTTTGAATACCTTCTCACAACACCTGTAAAGTCATTTCCCTTTTGCTTCAAAACTTTATTTATCATTAGAAACAATCTAAATACGTTTATTAGTTATTTCAATAAAGACTAAAACTCTAACTCTTTATCATTACTTTTGTAAACAGTCATTTAATTTGTAACATGAGATTAATTTAAGGAATTCTGTTAAATCATATATTACGTTGGTTCATAGAAGAAACCACTTAATCAAATTATTATTATGTATAACAATCGCAAAACAAATGAGATGTCTCATAAAAGAGAAATGAATTAAGAGAAAGATACTCATATGAAATCCATGAAAATTAACAAAACTTTTACCCTTTTCTATCAAATGATATATATAAAACTAGTGTTGTGCCCCGTGCTTTGCACGGTGAAGATGTTTACGTGAAGAAAATCTTATCTTATTTAGAGATTAGTTTTTCATTTCTATTTAATTTTGAGATAATTAAAAAATTATTTGATTTATGATTTTTGTTATTTAAATGATAGACCTATGATCTTTTAAAATAAACTATCTGTTTATAATTTTTTGTTATTTAAATGATAGACCTATGATCTTTTAAAATAAACTATCTGAAAGTATATTTATTTCACCCGAAATAAATTTAACAGGATATAAATAATTAAATAAAACAGTTGGTAGAGAATATGGCCATATGGGGATCGTGGGAGGTGAATAAAGCAGTTTAAGTGATTTCTTTTTTCTCTTTTTTCTTTTTTTCCTCATTTTTTTTTGTCGTAAATTGGTTTAGAAAAATAAAGTGAGTGAATTTGAGACTTAACACACATGTCAGATGGAGAGAGTTGCAGTTTTTAGAAAAGTGACTTGTGATTTATTATAATAGGATTTAATATAACAAAATATTTAAAAGTCGTCCAAAAAGATGGAAAAAGAGAGGAAAATATATGTTACGTGATTTGTTTTTCTATCAGATTGCTCGCTTACACTCACGTCACGTGGATAACTTTTTGAATAGTTTTATTTTTAAATATTAAATATGTTCATGAATAAGATTATTACAAATAACTTACATACAATGTACATGCATGTGACATATAAATGTATATGTACATATACACACGTATACTATATAAGGTAGGCATAATAGTTATAATCATGGCTCCAAAAATAATAAGCCAACGAGAAAGTGTTGAAAGATATTCAGATAAATGTCATGATTGTTTCCCCAAAACGGAAAAACAAAAATTCAAGGTCGTTTTCATTTCAATTCCTTTACTTCTTGGGTTTTGCTTCGTCATCAATACATATACACATATTTATATCATGTAAGTATACATGAATACCTATCTTTATACAAACATCTCATCTTCTATCTATAAATATATGCAAAAACCACACACACATATTTAACATACCAAATATTACATCTATCTCTCTCTTTCTCTCTTCTTTGTTCTTGCTTCTTGTTCTTGTTCTTGCTTCTTGTTCTAGTTGAGATTTGGTTTTTGAAGTGAAATGGTTAACGCTACAGTTGCGAGAAACATTGCCGGCATTTGTGGTACGTATAAATATGAGTTTTATATGTAAATGAACACTTTGAAGAATCTCTAACCTTTGTTTACTTATAATACTTAAGAAATTATTTGTTTATTGTCGCAGGAAATGCCATCTCCTTGTTCTTGTTCTTATCTCCCATGTAATCATTAATCTCTCTATCTAGCTTTGACCTTATAATAACAACTTAGAACTCTTAAATTAATCTTTGTAAGTATGTATATATATGCAGACCTACGTTCATAACCATATACAAGAAGAAAAAGGTGGAGGAGTACAAAGCTGACCCATACTTAGCCACGGTTCTAAATTGCGCACTTTGGGTCTTTTATGGCTTACCAATGGTTAAACCAGATAGTCTCTTTGTGATCACAATCAATGGTACCGGTTTGGCCATTGAGATGATGTATCTCGTTATCTTCTTCTTCTTTTCTCCAACTAGTCGCAAGGTATAGTAATTTTTCATTCATATCTCTCTTCTTTTCACTTAATTTTTATTAAATGTTTTTCGATCATTTAAACCTAAAATCGCTTTTAGTATGGCTTAAAATGAAAGCTAAAACTTTATAGTAATAAGAAGTGGTAGACAATGATTGATTCTGTTCTAGGATAGTGATAGGCAAAACAAAAAGTTTATACAATTTTTTTTGTTCTGAATTGATTTAATCAAATTGGTTCATGGTGCAGGTGAAAGTGGGGCTATGGTTAATAGGAGAGATGTTGTTTGTAGGAATAGTAGCCACATGCACATTGCTATTATTCCACACACATAACCAGAGATCTTCTTTTGTTGGAATCTTTTGTGTCATTTTTGTTAGTCTCATGTATATTGCTCCTCTCACCATAATGGTAAATATTATTTATTAATATCCTCTTCTTTTCTTTCTTAATTTTTTTGTATTTTCTTTCACTTTTTAATAATAGAAAAACATATATTTGTTGTGAGTGAAACAGAGTAAGGTGATCAAGACCAAAAGTGTGAAGTACATGCCATTCTCTCTCTCACTTGCCAACTTCCTCAACGGTGCCGTTTGGGTTATTTATGCACTTATTAAATTCGACCTGTTCATTTTGGTAGGTTTATTAAATTATTTAGAATACTATTCATCTTCTATTACTAGTTTCACTTAGTTTTTTTTTTTTTTTTTTTTTTTTTTTTTTGGGCATAGATTGGAAATGGACTTGGAACAGTATCAGGAGCAGTACAACTTATACTCTATGCTTGCTATTACAAGACAACACCAAAAGATGATGAAGATGAAGAGGATCATGAGGAGAATCTTTCTAAGGCTAACTCTCAGTTACAACTTGGTGGCAACATTGGACAAGCTAAACGTGTTTCAGCTTGATTATATGTTTTAGATTCATGAGTTATGAAATTTATTATTTCTATTTTCTAGCTCTTGGGTGATTTACTATAAGTAACCCTATTATATATATGTCCGTTTTTGTTTTGTGAAATTCAAACTCCTTTTAGTCTATGAAAGATATTAACTATTATGTGCGACAATACAAATCGATGTACCATCACAATTAGTCTCTAACTCTAAAATGGAGAAAAATAAATTCTTAGTCTTCCAGCAAGAAATTTACCATATATACGACTGTTTTTTTTTCTTGATAACACTTTTCTTAACATCTTCGATTTGTTGAAAAGTACCGGAAAAAAAAATACAAAAAGAATGATCCCAAATTTTTAAATCAACCCAAATTTTAAAAAACCTAAATATAAATCATGTATATTTAAGAAAATGTGAACACCCTAGAAAAGTTACTAATTAAAATTAAAAAAATATTAAAAGGAAAATATAGATATATTACTAAAGTAGCTCAGTTTTCATCGAGTGAATTGGTTTTAATACGGTTTGATTTCAAACGTACTAAAAAACGTTGTTATTCTTGCAAAGGTTAACACATGAAAAAGATAAATGCTCTGGTAGTCTGGTGACTGGTGTATTGCCCCTGAATTTCTCTAGTAAATGCAGCAATACTTAATGGGGCAAAAGATATGGCAGGAAAAAAGCAAGATAACTTAGTTTCTGTTGGGCAAACGGGTCTTCTCCATCTTGAACCTGCTCCTATAGGCCTATTTCAGAGCCAGTCCTGGGCCTAGCGAGCCCATCCGATACAACAATAAGCCTCTAAAAAACTTTATTGCAAAAACAAGCTCCCATTTTGCCGAATCTTTAAATTCTGCTCGCATTATTTTAAAATCATATTTTAAAATCATATATTTTTTTTAGTTTTGTTTGGATCAGTTTTCACGCCCGATCCGAACCATCCAGTCTGACCGGTTAATCCACGATCCAGACACTTTTCCGGTTTGGGTTTAATGTTAATTCCGACAATTTAAAAACCGAAAAAACCTCCAAAAAACCCGCCATTAACCCACGACCCGGTGAACCGGCCGAGTATGGGTTTCAAAAAATTAATTTGATTTTGGAATAAAATATAGGGTTTTAGACTCTATTCATTTATTTTTTTAAAAAATTTCCAGTTCCAGACTCATCTCGCATATTGGATGTTGAAGAAAAAAAGCAAGGTACAAATCTGGGAAACATGAAATTTTAATTTGATATCAAGAAGGAGGGAGACTTGTTGAAAGAGTATTGGAGGCCAACTTGGATCTGAAAGAAAAAAGGCATTGAGCTCCTGAATTTGTGCCTCATACAAGAAGAAACTTCAAGAACGATTATGACGCAAGAGGCTCATTTCACAGAGACGACCTCAGGAAGGAAATTCCGAAAAATAGAGTATAGAAGCAAAGGTGTTTTAGATAGACTGCAGTAGCATAAGAAAAGAGAAATTTTCCTCGGTATCGGGAGAGATATCATCCGTATGGTGGAGCAAGGAGAGAGCTTTCTAAAAACTGGGCCTGAAGTTTCTTATTCCTCAAGCTCAAGGTATTAGAGAAGAATGGGAGATCGCGAAGTGACTTCATATGGATATGATCGACAAGGTTAAAAATATTATGGAAAGGAATCAATGGGCACCATAGATTCTCAAAGAACTATCTCTAACACTCAGAAGACGGAATATCAGTTGTCACGTGTCAGAATAGACTACATGCCACAACCTTATGGGAAAGAGATATCAGGTCCATCAATTCAACACTACTTTTGGTGGCTTGAAGAATTAGATCATGAGCAATAGGTGAATTGGCCTAATTCTTCTAGGCTTTTAAGAACAATTAAAGAAAGAGAACAATCAATTTAATTTATATTAAGAGAAAATGGTTTTATACGGTCATTTCCTCTAGAATCCCTAAACTTCTTGATGGGACTACTCAACATGACCTAAGTACATGTGATCATTATATTCTATGAAGATTGTTTTTTTTTTTTTTTTTGAGTTTGCGAGATTTCGTTGTATGTCTTATTGTTGGAAATCCAATTCTTTTTTAATGTAGACAATTTGATTATTACACAATGAGGATTGAGGAGAACATAGAAAGAGTCATTTATGGTCTGCCAGTATAATGTGGACACAACTCCAAGCATATATATTTTTGGAATGTTTGAGATATTAGTATGTACTTATGTGGTGGGAACATATAGAGTACGTTGATAGGTTAGGACGTACAATTATTATTAGAACACTTTTTTTTATTGAACTCATATCATAAAATGGGAGCTTTTCAGTCAACTATTGAGTGTCCAAATCTTTATGCAATGCGAAGGAGAAGCCCGCACAAGATGCAAAGTTTGTTACACAAGATGCAAAGTTTGTTATATATTTCAATGCAATGACAATGTTGCCATGTCATTTTTTTTTTTTGTCAACCACACATTAATTAATAAATAGCTCCTTGATTGGTTGCCATGTCATTTAAATCATCAGTTTACAATTTTCGTTGGTTTAAAACATGAACTCTAGACCTGGTGATTTAAATTCTCAATTTTATATGGATCTGCTGATTTAAATCCTCAATTTTATGTTGACTTTCAATTTAATCACGAATTTTCGTTGACTAAGCCAATTGAGGCACATCGTTAACTGGTTAAACGGAGCAATCAGACGAAGAGGAAGATGGAAACCATGTTGGTGTAGAAAAAATATTATGTGATGGTTTCGAAGTACCAGTTATGCGATGACATCTATTGATCCATTTAGCCAGTTAGCAATATGCTTCAATTGGCTTTGTCAATGAGAATTCATGATTAAAATGAAAATCAACATAAAATTATGAATTTAAATCACCAGATTTAGATTTCATGATTTAAACTAACGAAAATGGTAAACTGATGAGTTAAATGACATTTTTCTCGTTTTGATAATTCTTTAAGTTTTTTTTTTTTGACATCAATTCTTTAAGTTATGAGTCACATATCTTGTTAATAAGTAACTTTGAAACCAAATTTTATATACTAAGATATTGATATGATTTTTTTCCCCAAAATATTGATATGATTTTTTTATCAACCACATATTAATTAAAAAATATTGATATGATTTGTGCTAGTATTTCCAAAAAAAAGTGTCTTTTTTTTTCATTCGCTTGTTCTAGTATTAAAGCTGATATTTTTTTTAATTTGTACCTTTTTTTGTCAACTAATAGTCTAATACGTACCTTTTACAAATAAAAATTTAAAATATATTTTATATAGAAATGTTTATTTTTCTAAATATAAATCTCTAGTAATGGAATCATACTTTCATTAATGTGAGATTGGAAAAATAAAAGCAGTCAATTAATTAGTAATTGATATCAATGCATTATTAAAAAGTACAATAACAATCTATGCATCTCACACAACAACACACACTCTAAAATTTAGATACTACTACAGAATCATAACCAATGCTTATTCAACGTTACGTTACTAAATTAAAAATCTCTGGAAAACTTTTATGAATTAATAATTTTGAGGTTTAGAAATTAAGCGAGGGAGTCCAAGCACCAGCAGTAATAGTCAGAACGAGAGATGGAGAGCATTTCATCAGGAGACATCCTCTCGACCTCGCTCTGCCTCCAAACCACCTGGTTGCTACGGTTCTGCGCATCCGCGGCTAAAGGGTAAGCTTCAATTTTGTGTTTCTGATATCTCATTCTCGTGTAAAGCCTCATCGTCGCTACACAATCTTCATACGGGTCTTGTATCCCAAAATGAACATCATACCTACATAAACACATCATTTATTAATATATAATCTTGAATATAATAAGCATCTCGTGTAAAATAAAGATGTCTAAAGATTTTGGATTATTGTTTCTAGTCATATAAAATCTATTTACTAATATATATGTATATGTAGAAATTAATATATTATTAAATATGTGAATCTTTTCACGTTCTGAATCTCTTCCTTATAACTTTAAACCCATACAAGCATCAATACCCACTGAAAAACTAATAATTAACGGATATATGATACATCATACATACAATTTGTTTTTGTCAAAAAAACATCATACATACATAATACTCATATATTATATCAACATACGAGTGCATGCATGTACATACTCACTTTCCGAATTAATTTATTTGATTTTATATTTTTTGATACCAAAAAAACAAAAAAGAAAAAAACGAAAGTAAACTTGATATATTACCCGAGATAGGCTTGGGTTAAGTACTTGAGAGAGTTGCTCAGCTTGCTTGTTTTCATCAACGGTGGATATTTCGCAGTATCCCTACACAAAATAATATTAAACTTGACCGTTAACATATAAATTCACATAAAATCATATGTTATATCGAAAGAGAAGTAACACTAAAGAATCTTGTTATATGTATTTTCGTTATATACTTTTTAAAAATATAAATGTCAACCTTATCATGGAAGAAGGATATTCAAGTTGAAGGCAGTCAAGATCGTGATCGAGGCCATGTCCCACGAGAATCCTCGCTTTTCCACCTCTTGGACGAATCTTCCACATGGGTTCTCCATTACAAAGAAACTCTTGAATCTTTCTTTGTACTTGTTTCAACGGCATTGCGTCCCTTAGATTCTCCGGACGAATCCCCGTCGTCTCGTACCTATAGCTTGCTACGGCCATCGAAGGTTTCACATACGTGTGGAACACAACGTTGTCACTCTCATCCGTTATGCAAACCCTCGCACACAGATCCAACGACCCGTCGCTTCCTCCTCCTACCATCTTGCAAGAGAGTGCAACAACTCGTGGAGACCGCGATGACGTGTAGTCGATCATGGCCTTATCTCTTAGACCTAAAGCCGCCATGCGAGTCGTCAGTCCCTAAAAATGAGAAAATCATATGATTTATATAAGTATATATTCTTGTGGTCGATTTATAGGTTACAAGTTTAATTACATAAATATGAGAAAAGAGGATTACAGAGTTCACGCTCGAAAATTGGCATCTCTCTTGATGGATCCTACGAGCATTCGGGCTTTCGAGGATCGTCATGCAAAATCTGCATCCGCGAAGGCTGAAAATGTTCTTGCATTCTTGTTTTGGCAACGGCCCTATAGATATAACAATTTAGAAATGTTTGCATATACAAAGTGTATATATGAAATGGTATACATCTATAGATATGAAAAGTGTATAGACGTTATTATTTACCTATGAGATGTTCCCGGAGGGACTCAAAAGATCGGCAATGTTTCTTGCAAACGCCACAAGTAGGTTCATGACCCGAATGATAAGAGATCTTCATGTGTTCCACTAAATGTTCTATTTTGTTGAATTGCCTATAACAAGCGGCACACTTGTTCCTGCACGTGTACATATAATATATACATTCATGTTAGTATAAAATTTACATTTATTTTCATATAATATTGCATGCAACTCCATGAGTCTTCTCTTAGGGATTGTTCATGAAAAGGCTAGGTATAGTAGGCGTATGCCATGAAAATAGTTACCTTAGGGTTTCCGACGACTCCATTGATGATCTGTAATCCATGGTACGTAAAACTGGAAGCAAAAACTTAAGAGTTAAAAGAGTTTTTAGATAACCGTTTCGATGAGTTTGTTTTTGTCTACAGGTGAGTGTGTGAAAAAAGGAGAAGGTGAGAGAAGGTATTTATAGATGAATATGTAGAAGAAAGACAAGAAAAGCAAAGCTGATCATTCTCATATATGACCAAAGATTACACAAATTGACTTAATTGGGTGGGGTCGCTTCTCATGGTAAAAAGAATCACAATTTTTAGTTCTCCTTTGTTCTGAACGATAACAAAGATGCCATTAACGTATGTGTGCACGTGTGTGTGAATATTTGATGTCGATCGAGTTTGTAAACAAGAAAACCTCATCAGGTAAGTTAGCACCATGTAGTGGTATGGAAGAAAAAGGCTTACAAAAAAAAAAAAAATTACAAAGACTTAAAAATACCAAAAGCAAGCAATTACAATTGTTTATATAACCAAAAAAAAAAAGTTTGTAATTTAATGGTACTGATTTCGAGAAAAAGGTAGTATATATTTTAGAGAATTGTCACATAAATTTGAAGAAAATATTTGTATTCGTGTGCCAGCAGATTTTCACTTCTCTAGTCAATGTTTCTATCTTTTCGTCAATTTAACGTGTTTCTTAATTTCCGTAATTGTTTTTATGTAGGCACTTCAATATTTTCAGTGACAGGAAAGGAATTAGCAAACACTAATGAAAAAAAATCATTTGCTTGATCAAAATATTAATAATGAAAACAAAAATTCCGACAAAAAATTTTCAAAAAGAAATTTCTAGTAATCAAACGTAATTTATGAATTATTAAAAAAGGAATGCAACACAAGGATTTCTTCGGAAGGTCACTTATCTTAATATTATCTCGCCCTAACACACTTAACTGAAGAGTTTTTATGGGATTCGGTGTATTAGTGCTAGTATCATCGCATCAATCCAAAGCTCATCTTTATCTTTATCTTATTTACACTGAAGATAAGTTTCCTTTCCCATAAATACATGTTGCATTTGTGCCCATATTTCATAAGTTTGCGTTGCATAATCATAAATAAATCCGAAATAACTAACTTAATATTATTAAAACGAAATTATCCAAAGTTTCTACCACTATACTTTACGTATATCACTCTCTTTGGCGTACTAAATATACATAGATCTAAGGCTTCTTTTTCGTTATTATGTGTTTGACGTGTGTCAATTCATGGTTTCCTATTATAATAAATTTCTCTATTCAATGTAAATTTCTCTATTTCAATCACACTGCATAACGATAACACATGATTTTAGATTCTTAATTTTGACTTAAAATTACTATTTCTCTTGATGGTGGCATTCTCGAGGTTTGAAGTGTTTGGAAATTGGAACATACTTAGAAAACCTCCTTTTGACCGAGCAATGGGCCAAGTCCAAGATTCTAATTTATAGTGTTCGATCCAAAAGGATTCCAAATTCTCATAAAAAAAAGTATTATTCATGAATAAAAGCGAAAATGGTCCTTTGGTATCAGACTATGCATATACACCTATCTCTTTTATAGACTAAAAAATCCAATTTATACTTTTTTTTCCTTTGAAAATATTCCTTCCACATATTTAATCTATAATAATTTCCTGGTTTGATCAAAAAAAATAATAATAATAATTTATGTCGTTTCTTCAAAATTCATTGTCTTATTCCTCATTTAATTTGCCTCTGGTTTTACACATCCATGTATGTTAAAATTATGCATTTTTAAATTGAAACCATAATATACGTGTCAATTTACATTAGCAAATTTAAATTACAAAAAAAAACAGACTGATTTTATTTTTTTGCTTATAATCTTTCTTTTATTAATAATATGTATTATCTGAGTTTAAATTCAAATGAAAACACAATGAACCATTACCACAAGGCATAAACCATTATATTATATTGTCTATTTGGTTACAATCAATAAATGATGTTTTAAGGTAATTATATTTTATTGTAAATGTAGATGCAAGCCATCAAGTATCCTCTTATTTTTGGGTTAAGAAAATACTTTTGAAAAATAATTCTTACATGCGTAGATAGAAGAAATGTGGGTGAATTGAGAGGTGGTGGCATCATGGTTGCTAGGTCCACACACATGTATATTCCCCATTGTTCGGATGCTCTTTTGTCATATTTCATGACTGCATCTATTTATATATACACTGAGTTTTTTTTGGATTTCTAAATAAAATAAACAAACCTGTAAATCAATTTTACCTAAATTTATTACTGTATATACTTGTATGTTATATCTTCGATTAAAGATATGTTAACAAAATTGAAAACATTGTTCGCTTTGTTACAAAAAATAACTTTTTATAATGCAGTAAATAAAAAATTAAAAGAAATTTTTGTAAGAAATTAAATTATTGTTAAACTACATACAGTAGTTATTTAGACATATCAATCAGGTTTGATATATCAGGACCGACACGTCCCGTAATCTGTAAAATCTGCATATATTTGAATATGGTCCGGTCCAAATAATTTTTTTTTTTTCGTTTCTTTGCCTAGCATCTAAATAAATTTTGAGCCTATATTTTAAAGCCATGTCCGATCCAAACAAAACTACATGGCTGTATTTCGATATTTTTTGGTCTTTACTTTACGATAAAATAAAAACTTACTTAGAAAATGAACATTATAATTCAATTTCGTCATATGTATCATTGTTATCATATATTTATATAATTCTTACGTAGTCACAATTTATCATTACTTTGAGTTTCTATATTTGTCATGTATGAAGTTTGAAGAATACATCGGACTGTTAAAACATCTTTTGCAAATGATGTTTATATAATACAAAGTAAATCCAAATTTAAACAACAACCAATATTTTTTCACCAAATTCAATTTATATAATAAATAAATCCAAATAAATTTTATACTACTTATACCAAATAAAATATAAAATCAAAACATTTTAAATATATGTATTATATTGTAGTTATGATTTGAATATGTTTCAACACATTTGAAGAAATTAAATCCTTAAACAAGTGTAGTGTCTAAGTTATTTGTTTGTATACTTTTATAGAAATCTCAAAACCAAAAATCTTTCTGAAATAACTTAACAATGCTGGTGATTTTGTAATAAGATTTTCCCTCATAAACATTTTAAATTTTTTACATTCTTCTAAACTTGTTGTAAGCATATTTTAGCGACGGGTGGATCTGTCTCCATTTAAATAAGGCGTATGACCAAATAGTTGCTTAACACGAGCAACAAATCATATCGTTCCAATATTTTTATATACGAAATAAAAGATGAAGAACCAACCATCATTTTTTTTTTTGTCTAAATTTTTCCATTATATTATACGATTGAGGAATACAGGGGTGGAATACGATTTTAATACACAAAGCCGGCGGAAAACAAAGATATCCCCGGAAACTAAGCCCAAATGAGGGAAGCATAAAAAAGAACGGGGCATAGCCCTCAACAGACGAAACAAAAGGCAACGACTAAAAACAAGACCTCTAAAGAAGAGATTTGGTGACTTAAACTCCCTCTAAACCAAGATGATCAAAGCCACTCACAAACAACGCAAGCAACGAAACCTCCTATAGTGAATCAAAACTACCTCTCACATGAAGTGAACCTAGACTTCTATTCCGGCAAGAAAGAACCACGACAAAGAATTATAGTTCCACCAAACTTCTTCCGAAAGCGGCGATGTCGAAAACAACGACTTTTGAACGCCTAAGTAAAAGCCTTTGAACTGACCAGACCTCGATCAAGTCTTGAATGTAGAAACAAGAGCGAAACCAACCTCAAAACCGGAAGACACCATACCCAGAAAAGCACAGCACAAGATCGAACCGGAGAGACCACCATAAAGACCATCAGTAGAAAAGAGGAGCAAATTCAAACAAATCCAATACAAAAGAGAGAACAAGCAAGTCAAAGCCACGCTCCGGACTAGTAACCAAAATCATAGAATTAGGGGCAGTCAAACTTTAGATCCGGAACATACGACATAGGCGTACGAACAAGCCGACGAAATAGAGCCAACATAAAGCCATTCATCCTCTGATCCAGCCTAAGTCAACTATTAAACCACCCGAACAACAACTAAGCCAAATACTTAGTCAACAAGACAAATGAAGTTAAAGGAGCAGGTTACCGGAGTCAATGACGCAAAGGATCAGAAACTGGCGAAGCACACGAAGAAGCAGATCCACCAACAACCAGATCGGCGAGAAACCACAACGACGAGGATACAAAACGACGAAGATTAGAGCAGATCCCGGAGCACATAGACACCAAGGAGCCAGATCTAATTCCCCCACAACCAAAATGACTCGCTGCCACTTTAACCTCGACAACAACCACACATTGAACAACAGAGAAGACTGATAAGAGGGCTAACGAAGCAAGGAAATACCAACAAGATCCTCTCACAGCTCCGGCGAGGAGCGCCGGAAACCGGAGAGGACAGATCTATAAAACGGACGAGACTTCTTCTGTGGCGGCTAGGGCGACTTCGAGAGAGAAAAAAGAACCAACCATCATCTCTTATTCTTCTGTAACACATAATTTCAAAAATATATTCCAAGTTTTAGTAACATAGTATCGCTAGTTTACAGTACCACAAAATCTAGGTTACCGTTTTTTTTATCATTAGGGAGTGATCCAAACTTTTACTATCCGATTAATTTTTTTAAGTATATATAGCTTTCGAATAATTAACTCGTCGAATTTTTTAATGGATCTAAAGTCATACATCATTTTGACTAGTTAAATGGAAATGGTTAAATAAATTCATGAGAGTTTATCTCTAACCTAGACGAACACTAAATAAATGGTTAAATAAATGGCAACTTGTATACAAATGAAAGCCATTAGCGCATTACCACTTTCTTAGGTTACATTTTTCTTTTTTATCCATTAAGAAAGTTCTGGACTTTTAAAATAAGTACTAATTATCTCCCCCCCTCCCCCGGTAAAAATTTATAATAGAACTAGAAAATCTATCTTCTTACCCGTTGAATTATATTAACCGTGTATGTGATTGGATTTTTCAGATTTTTTTTATATCAGTTAAGCTACAAATTTATTTCTCATTGTTCTA